CAGTTAAGAGTGTCCCTCTTCAATAACTTTCCTCTTACCACCAAAGAAAATGGTGAGTGGATCGGTGAAGATTACGTTCGTTTGCAGCTAGTGACGTCCATGATAAACGCTACGTTTAGAATAATAGAATCACCGGAGAATTCGCTTTATGATGGAGCTTACGATGATATCATGAACGACGTAACAGATTTTTGCTTTATTAGTCATTATTACATGCACTATCTTTATCAAGGTGCTGAATACACTTACACTCACCAACCAGATCAAATCGTCGCTGTCGTTCCATTTCAACATCAATCTTTATTCCACAATTACACAGTTTTTTCAATATTCGACATCACTGTGTGGGTTTCGTCTATCTGCATGATAACAATTCTTGTTATTTTTACCACAATGGTAAACTTAGTGAAGAAAAAAGTCTTCCGGATTAACTGCCTGCAATATTTCTCGACCTCACTGGGTAACCCTTTAACCAATTTTGGCACACAACCATTCGCAATCAAAATCCTGTTTTTAATTTTCATCTTGAGTTGCATCATCTTTCGAACAGCTTTCCAGTGCTTTTTAATTAGTACTTTCGTAACGCCAAAACCTGAGGAAAAAATGACCACGATTGCTGAATTTCGTGAAAGCAACTTAAATATCCACACTACAGCGTTCTTAGCTAATATGATTCTGTTCAATGAACATCTCAGTGATAGAGTGTTCAACATATCTGCTCCAGAACGTATCAAAAGACTGTACTCCCTGGATACGAGTGCCTCCTACGCGATTATATTGACGTTTGCGAACAAATTTATGGAGTCTTTGAAGAGTAATTACGCAAAACCACCATTTTATATTCTGGAAGAAGCTTTGGTACCAGGTATGGACACATACTTTTTTCAAAGACATTCGCCATATCTGGAAAAAATTGACGAATGCTTGTTAAGGCTGAAGCAATACGCACTGTCTGAAAAGAGAGTTTACACTAGTTCGTACTTTAAAAGAAACTTTACAAGAAGTAGAAGTCCCGTCATCGTGCTGGGTGTAGAGCATCTCCAGAGTGTGTTTCACATACTCACAGTAGGGTTGTTGTTGAGTGTTCTTGTTTTTATCTGTGAAATTGTTGTTAAAAAAAAATTCACGTAACAAAAATAAAGTGCTGGTTGAGTGTTGTTTTACACTGGATTTTCTGTCAACTCATTTTAGTTTTTTTTTCTTTTAGTTCGGTTAAGCATTATTAATTTTCCATGTGTTTACCGGGTTTTCAATAATTTCCGTGATTGGTAAAAACATGAATCAAAGGCTCATTACGTTTTTTGTTTAGTTATCGACTTTCCTATGTTTTTAGTACCCAAGCGTAAGCTAAGGAAATATTGTAATTGTTTTATCGACGTAGATAAAACCTAGAGTAAGAAAAAATAGGACTTTCGTTTCCGTCTGTCTGTCTGTCCTCTCTCCGCTTCTGTGTTGATCTTTATTAGACAGAAGTAGTATATAAAATGTTTCTTCTAGACCAGGATGTCTGTATGTATAAAAATCAATGAAAAACAGTCCAAAAAGAACATGAAACTACCAAGAAAGAGCCCAAAATCCATAAAAAAAACCCCCATAAACCCCAAAAAGGCTTTTTACTTCTGGACTAAGGCATTTGGCACTTGGAAAAATCCTTAAAAATCACCCCTAATCAAACAAAATTACCTCAAAAGCCCTCTAAAAAAAACTCAGAAATACTTTGCTTTTAAACACCCCAAAACAGATTTTAATTTCAAGAGTCTAAATTATCATGGCTGATTTAGATTTTTAGCTAATTATGCTGATTCCAAAAATATAGCATATTGATAGTCACGGAGCAACATTTTCGAAACAATCTGTACGAAATGCGAATTTTTGAAAATATCTAAAAATTTTGATATTTCTACGGTCGATTCCGGAAAAACGTTTACAGTTATCAAAGAAACGAAGCCCGAATTGAGTTCTAGAGCTCGAAATCTACCAGAAAATGTGTTTTGTTAGGTTTCGAAAATTTCAAAAATTGGCTGAAATTTGAAGAAGGGGGGACCATTGAAAAAATTTCTCTTTTAAAAAAGTTGTCTAAAAATCGTGAAAAAATTCAGAGCCGTGGATATCGACATGCTGATTCCAAAAATATAGCATGTTGATGGTCACGGAGCAACTTTAAAAAAGTTGTCTAAAAATTGCGAAAAATTCAGGGACGTGGATGATTCCAAAAATATAGCGTGTTAATGGTCACGAAGCAACATTTTCGAAATAAGCGGTACGAAATGCTCTTTTTCAAAAATTTCTAAAAATTTCGTTATTTCAACAGTCGATTCTGGAAGAGCGGTTCTAGTTATCAAAGAAAAGAGGGCCGAATTGAGTTCTAGAGCTCAAAATCTACCAGAAAATGTATTTAGTTAAGTTTCAAAAACGTCAAAAATTGGCCGAAATTTGAAGAAGGGGGGACCATTGAAAAAATTTCACTTTTAAAAAAGTTGTCTAAAAATTATAAAAAAATTCAGGGACGTAGATCTCGACACGCTGATTCCAACAATATAGCATGTTGATGGTCAAGAAGCAACATTTTCGAAAAAATCGCTGCGAAATGCGAATTTTTTAAAATTTCAAAAATTTCGATATTTCAACGGTCGATTCTGGAAAAACAGTTGCAGGTATCAAAAAATCGAGGCCGGAATTGAGTTCTAGAGCTCGAAATTTACAAGAAAATGTATTTAATTGAGTTTCGAAAATATCAAAATTTTTGCGAAACTTGAAGAATTTCGATTTTAAAAAAGTTGTCCAAAAATTATGAAAAAATTCAGGGACGTAGATATCGACACGCTGATTCCAAAAATATAGCATGTTGATGGTCACGAAGCAACATTTTCGAAAGAAACTAAGTATTAATCAATGAAAAGAAATTCTTATCCAAAACTTATTGCGTTTACACATTTTTCATTTCTGAACCAAAAGAAACTACTTTGAAAATGCGTAAAATGCAAACAGTTGTTGGTTAATTCGCAGTTTCGTTGTATCATATCGTATATTGTACGCAAAAAACATTACTACTTAATTATGACCCGAGCTGACCTGATCTGACCTGACCTGATCTGACTTAACCTGAGCTGACCTGACCTAACCTCCTCTATATTGTCCCAAGTAAGCAAATTAATAATAATTTCTATTTTTATCTAACCCGAGCTATTTTGGGGCTGTCTTGTCGGGAGGAATTTTTTGCTAAACTATTTAATCGGGGATGAATATTTTGACGCCTGAAAATATTAAAAAATCGCAATTATTGGCACTAAAGTTTTCTCACCTGTAAAACACAACCACTGCCATATTCGTTGTTTTCAAACCAAACAAAAATCTAGCGGTACGAAATGCCACTTTTTGAACATTTCTAAAAATTTCGTTATTTCAACAGTCGATTCTGGAAGAACGGTTCTAGTTATCAAAGAAACGAGGCCCGAAGTGAGTTCTAGAGCTCGAAATCTACAACAAAATGTATTTAGTTAAGTTTCGAAAATGTCAAAGTTTGGCCGAAATTTGAAGAAGGGGGGACCATTGAAAAAATTTCACTTTTAAAAAAGTTGTCTAAAAATTGCGAAAAAATTCAGGGACGTGGATATCGACATGCTGATTCCAAAAATATAGCGTGGTGATGGTAACGGAGCAATATTTTCGGAAAATTGGGTGTGAAATTCGAATTTTTCGAAATTTTTAAAAATTGCGATATTTCAATGGACGATTCTGGAAAAACAGTCTAAGTTATCGAAGAAATGAAGGAATAAGTGACTTCTGTGGTCCAAAATCTACAAGAAAATGTATTTGGTTAAATTTCGAAAATCGTCGAGAATCGGTCGATACCTAATACGAATACCTACATAATGGAAAATTTCATTTTTGAAAAAGTCATCTAAAAATTCTGAAAAAATTCAGGAATATAGATTCCGACGTGCTGATTCCAAAAAGATAGCGTGTTTATGGTCATGGCGTAATATTTTTTTCAAATGTGTCTATTAAGTATCCATGGTTACTTGAGAATACTTTATTTCTGTTTAAAGTATATGAAGTTCTTATTCAATTCCCATTCTGATTTTTGAAAATTCGCTGATCCGAACACACCTTTTCCCAATTAATTCGGATTATCGAGGTTCTACTGTATTATTATTCTTATATGATCGTAATTAAATAAAGACGTGGGTATTCTCACATTTTCTAGAAAATGAGGATCTTAATTTGATCAATAAAAAATTGGTCGAAGGCTATAAGTATAATCCCACAAATCCAGCTCTTTAAAAAAATATATAAAACTTGATTTTACGATTGTCGTTACGTCATAACCGCTGTAAAGTAAAAAGCAACGACATAAATAACACCCCCGCAGCTCCAGCACCGTACGGACAATGTAAAATATATTTAAAGCACAGAACTAAAGGCATAAAATATCCTTCAGCACTAGGTACAGTTTTTTTTCTGGAGCCAACTGTAATAGCAATCTGAAGCTCAAGTGTTTATTTATGGTTCTGCATCGAGAGAATGTCACGTAGAAATTAGTTCGATTTGAATGAGTTTGTCTTCTCAAAACAGAGGACTAGAATTATTAATTAAACGACTGACATCACATCACTATAAACCACAATTGAACAATGCGTTTAAATGCAAAATGGTGAACCCCAAAGTTGGAAAAGCGCCCTTAAATCAATCACAAGATATGGAGAACACAAATATTGTTTATTCCTCCATTTTGGTACATACAAAAACACATATTCAATGCGATCAAAATCACAAAAAGCTGGTCTCCGAAACGCTACACTTTGAAGCTGCGCCATCGAGAATAAATCTTCAAATTCAAGCCGCAAAAATATTATTAAACCTGCAAGAAAATAATTAGATCTGAAACAACCTATTAAACCTCGTCCAGAAGGACATGAATTTGACTAATGGAGGTTTCAAGGTCCTTTCTTTAAAATGGGATCTACGTTTAAGATGTTCTGTTGAAGAAATAAAACCCATTAAAGTGATTTATTTATTTAATAAAGCGATAAAAAAATGACTTTTGAATGCGACTTTTTTATTGAAATTTAGGGAAAATGGGCAAGAACTTCAGCTGTTCCAAGCTTTGCATGAATGTTCGCAATATTTATTATACTATTAAAAATGGGGAAAAATGTCCAGCAATTTTTTCACTTTTTCTATTGTGCTCCATCTTTTGCATTTATGAAACGACTTAAATTTCTAATAAGAAACTGTTTCATTATTACTATTTCTTCGTAATATACAAAAAATATTATTCATAATATAAATAACTGATTAATATCATTCCAAATAGTTAGTACAAATGAAGGCACTAACACTAAGGCATCATAATCTACTACTGTCTACTGTTTAGCAAGATCTTGGTACAAAGATTCCATAGTCCAAACTTCAGTACACCTCTGTACTTCCTTCTCAGGATAAAGCCTGCTAGTTAAAATTGATAAGTCAATATCCCCTATATTTCCAAAGTTCGGTTGTCCGGTTTCAAATTGAGAATCTAGCTCTTTATAGGTTGACTCTTTCACAGTCATGCTACAACCAATCAATATGAATCCCGCTAACCTATTTACAACAAATACTTTGGAACTTTAACATCTGGTAAATTCAGAGGATCATCTGGCATATCATCAATATCAGGTATCACTGGAATGTCATCGTCAGACTCATGTCCTTTTTCATTTTGGAAACGTTCCCTAAATTATTAAAACACATTTAATTACACACAAATAATCTCAGACTTACTGTTCCATGATATTCGGCCCCTTTGTCCTACAACATTATAATCAAAACGCAACAAAGTAACTGATAATAAAACACTACTTGCTAGATTTTGTGCCCTCAACAGCCCACCCGCCAGTTTTCCTAGTTCTTATTGGAACATCAGGAGTATTGTTTGACCCTGAACCGTCCAAAACTTCCTCTGGAGTTCCTGGTGTATTACTGGCCCGTCTACCGTGTTTGGTGGCAGACTAAAATAATGAACACGTTACTAAAAAACTAAAAAAATTAGTCGCATACCTTTTTATTTGGTAACAAATCTACATCTTCGTCCCAGTTCATTATACCTTTGTTTGTATTTAAAAAAATCAATTAAACGGTGGCTATTTGAGGTTGGAATAAACAACACAGATGACGTTTCGTTGTCATCTGCGCATGTGCCACAAGATGCGCGATAATTTTAAATTTAAACAATAAATTTAGTACAGGGTATTATTGTTTTTTGTACCACCCATAATGGCTTTTATCTATTACTACAAACTGTTTAATAAATTGCTTAATACATGTTTCGTGTCTACTTGCAAACTTTTATTTTATCTATCCATTTTTGTAGCTGAATATCTTAATTGAGACTAATAGTCTGTTGTTAATGCACCTAATGGATTTTCTTCACGTATAAAAAACACATTACTTAAGTAATCAAGCAAAATAATGCATTTTGTTGACAACATATTACAAAAATTGTTATTAATGTAACACATCACTCATGTTAAAATGCTGCCGTGGTTAATTTTTATTGCTCCAATTCAAAGTATCTTTATTCCAACATTTGGAGAACAATACAAAATTAATATCCCCAAAGATTCTTTGATTGAGAAAGAACTCAAAAATTTTTTTACTGAATGTTCGAAAAATCGTTATTTGGAGACTAAATTAACAGTAATCTTATCCTCTACAAATTATGTCGTTTACAATGTAGTACAATGGTACCTACAGAATGAACAATATGAACATCTACTTATTGGCAACTGTAGCAATGAAACAGGAATTTCTTTTACTTCTGAAGAACAATCTGAATTATTAATTTTACCGAACATAATTGTTTTCGTCAAAGTCGAACTTTTAATAGACTTTTTGGAAGAAATCAAATCGTGCCCTTTATGGTCCCCAAATTCGAATATTTTTTTCATAATACCAAATTTAGTTAACAATAAATTAGTTATAGAAGAAATTTTAGAAATTATATGGTTGAAAAAAATTTTAAACTTCGTTGTAGTCTACGTTGATACTGAAATAAACGTCTTTACTTATAACGGATTCAAAGAAGAAAAAGTTATTCGTTATAGAAATTTTTCCGAAGATCTATTTCCGAATAAATTACTGGACATTAATGGGCATGTTTTAAAAGTGGGGATGTTTTTGGATGTTCCTAGAAATATAAAAAACTCTCGTGGACAATGGCACGGTCCCGACTACCACGTACTTGAGACGGTAATTTTTATGATGAATGCAACTCTAGAAATTGTCGAGGTACCTCCAGAACAGCATTATTTTGCTCTGTTTGATTATGTAGCAAACGAAACCATCGATTTTAGTTTTATTCCTTACTACCAGATAGACGATGCACATGAAGTTGATTTTTCCTACCCTAGGAAGTTGGAAAATATGGTTGTTTTGGTACCAAAAGCGACACTAATTCCTAGACGAAACTATCTGTTTTTGGTGCTAGATTATAAAATTTCACTGGCCACACTGGCATTCCTAATTATTATAACTTATGTTCTCAAAAAAACTACTTTTTCAAAGAATAAGAATCCAACATTTGGCTACTGGATGCTTATCTCCTGGAAATGTTTCATAGGGAATGGAGGCACCACAAACTTTCAAACTAGACATGTTTCAGTAAAAATTATTTTAACTTCATGGATGTTACTGTCTATAATTATAGGAGCATCGTTTCAATGCTCATTCACAAGCACTCTTACCAAGCCCAAATACCACAAGGACATTAATACTCTGGAAGCTTTGAGGGCCAGCAGAATCAGGATTCTTTGCGCGGATTATTTTCGTGATTATTTTTTAAAAACCGAAAGCCATGAGCTGCAAAAACAACTAGTGTTTGTAGATCCTGAGGTAATTGTGCAAATCAGAAATGGATGGTCAGCGGGAAAAGTTGCCTTCATTGAAACCTATGGTCGGGCCGTAGTTTTGCAAAAATTCTACGGGTACCACATCGTTAAAGAACCCATAGCGACTGGATACACCGTTTATTTTTTCCAAAAGGGTTCTCCGTTTAATGAGGAAATCCACAGGTGTGTTTTAATTGACCAAGAAACAGGACTGTCAAAAAGAAAAAACCAGATCAGAAGACATCTCAGAAAAAAGTTCGTCAAACAAATAACTACAGATCATTCTTATTTGACGTTTCATCACCTGCAAGGGATATTTTTGGTACTGTTAATATTTTATCCGATTAGTATAATCGTGTTTGTGTGTGAAATATTCGACAATGGTAGTAAAAAAACGAGAAAATTCAAAAAATACACAGGTGTTTGATTTTCCCGCTCTGTCGTTGCACATTATTACCTCACAGGCCAGCCAACCTGAACTTAGTTACGTGACAAAAATGACATTGACAGATTTCATTAATGTGACGTTTCAGTAAAAGCTGATTAATTTACGGTGTGTTATCTAAATTAAATGAAAAGATTTAAACACTGATAAGGATTAAAAAAGTACAAAATGGTGAGCAAGTCACTGTGACAATAAACGTAGCAATTTTGCTTAGTGAAACTTTCACTTGCACTCAGGAGCATTGAACTGTAAATAGTGAAAGAATTGTTACACTTTTTTTGCAACGTGCACGAAATTAGTGATTGTCAGTACCTTTTTAGGTGTACAAATGAATAATGGAAAAATATCCCTTGAAAAAGGCCGGCACGGCAGTACCCCAGCATTCACCAAGCTATCAATCTGTTGATAAGAAGGTAATTATAATTTTTCGAGTATAGGGATTCACAAAGGTTTGGCGATGGTTATTAGTTGTGTGTTCGAGTAATCAGACAAGGGGAATATTTTATGATAGTAAAACCGTTATATTTTATTACTTGGGATTTTCAAGAGTCAACAATGAACAATCACTTTGAATTCTTGGAAGTGGAACAACCACAAACTGTCATTGACAAACTTTTTATGGATTTAAAATTGTCTACAAAATGGTGTGTTACAGTTATATTATTATTGTGTGTTGTGTGTGTTGATAAAATGATATTGTTGTTTGGAATTGAACTCGGAATAGTAGCAACTATGTTTAGCACTAGAGGGTGATTTAGTGATAAAACAAGGCAGAGAAGAGGTACAAAATCTGAAGTCATTGGCAAAATAAAATATTCAAAGCGTAGTAATTCAATATGACGCAAATTGAACTTCCTACATTATCAAGAAAATTTTATTGACTTGGTAAAATCCATTTTCAATATTAAATTGGTATTTATAATACATATAATAGGAAATTGCTTAATTGTGGCTGTTATCAAGTATGTGAAATGGCCACCGCCCAAGTTAAATTTTGTGAGAGATAAATTACACGCCGAACATCTCATTTTTTATGACTGGCTAGTTGTACATTATATAACAGAGGAGATTTTTTTGCTACCTAAATTTAAATATGCCTAATGAAAATTATTATTGTTGGATCTAGATTTTTAATAATTAATTATTTGTAGTTTATGTTGTATTTCCAGCACTACCATCACATATCTTGCGATTTATTAATTAATAATTGACTTGGTTGACCTGAAATTTGAAGAACGGACAATTTAAAGCAATTATTGTAGCCAGAAGTGTTCAAATCAAAATGTAACATGAGAACTTGGCATTGTGACCTTATCTCTTTCTGTATGTATTTATCGTTGTTATAATCAATTCCAAAATAAAACATCATCTGTTGGATTTAGTTAAAAAACCCCGATTGCATAGTTTAGTTATTATAAGATTGGCACTACAATGACTTTAGAAAGAAACATAACCTTAATTTATTTCACACTAGAATAAATTACTAAAACTGATGTTGTTACCAATCGTATTTTTGAAGAAATTGCGGTGTTGGTGGATTTTTATGAAACGACAATCTTGTATGAATAGAAATTGATGGAAATTACACAATAGATACAGAAAAAAATCAATTCGCTTTTATTTAAGGAAGTGTGACAACTTATTTTTGTAGGTAACGTTGTAAATTACCAGAAAACAATAGTAATTTATTTGAGTACACGTAACACACAGGAAAAATATCTATTTAAATTTTATAAACTAAACACATTAAAACAAAATGCGTCAAACTAACGTACAAACAACACGTTAGGCATACTTCCAACGATAAAAATGTATGCGCAATGGCGATAATTTTTTTAGGTTTGCGGGTGTGCGGAACGTGTTGTGGTTGTGTAGTGGTTATAAATTGAACGTTTGGCGTGATTGCATTCAATATTTTCTGGCGACAATAAATTGATTCTGTTCAGATGTAATAAAAAAAAAACGTGTTCATGTAAGTTTTTGAAATAAAATGTCAATTTTAATGAGTGAAGCCTTGAAATAAATACACCTATGCGCAGTGGCAGTAAACACGCGAACTGGTTAATTAGTTTCTCATTGTTCTTTTTTTTTCGAACTATAATGTTATATGTACCTTATAATTTAATAGATAAATAACTGGCACGTGACAAACATGCACGTTTTTTCAGTCACTGCTAAACTGTAAATATGTACGTTATGTGTTTCTGTTTAAATTTACAAGTTACAACAAACTTACAATTTTGGAAATTTTTAACGGTGTAGCTTTTTTTTTATTGTTGTTTTTGTTATTAATGTTTCTGAACGTAATTTTTATTTCTTTGATATTTAGGTTTGTTTTGACCTTGTCATTTAACTGGGTTCTTACCCGTTGGACGATAATAATAGCTTAATAAGTAAAGATGAAAGGGTTGGCATACCACTTTTTACTTCCGCTCTATTTGTAATGTAATTTATCCTATACGTTTATAAATAAATGTGTACTGTACATTAATAATTTTCAAAGGTTTGAAGTAATGACAGTTAGTTCATGGTAAAGTGAACACCTTAAAAATGATAAGAAAATGGTTTTAAAATGCCACATTTTCCAAAAAGATTGTACTTGATTAACTTATTTTAGTGTTTTCTTATTATTTTTTAATCGATCTTCCTCCTAAAAATCTCTGACTAATTCTACATTATTATATTTTTGTATTTTATGTCTAAGGATTTTGCTGTATTATATCGTCCAGATAAATCGAATTGTTCTGTTCCATACATAGGGTTATTTCACATGTTTTTTCATCGTAGCGGCTTAAACAAAAGCGGAAGGCGACAAATAGATAGACTGAAACTTTTTTAAGCCACCTACAATGTAAGAAACATTTATAATAACTCTGTATTTTAAGAATATAACAAACAATTTGGTACAAAAATAAATTAATTCCATTTGAATTAAGTTATCTTTAAAGTTTATTTAGTCTCATAAACACAATACATAAACGGAAAGAATTCGCCCTTTTTGAACATTCGGTACATATTTTCATATTTATAAAAAAATATTGTTCTTTTGAAGCATTCGAACAACAATTGAATGTTTCGTTCGTTTTATATTGATATGATTAGCTATATAAGTATATGTTTTAATATTCTAACACAACAACATTTAAAATTTCATTTCATTTTTATTGTTCCCATTTTTTTCAGTTCTCGCCCTTCTCGTCGTTCGCGTTTCTCGTTTCCCACATTTCTCATTTCTCAAGTTTTTCATTTCTTATTTGTCACATTTCTTACTTCTTTTCTTTATTCATATTTCTCATTCTCGCACTCCTCATTTCTTACAGTTCACAATTCTCTCGTTTCCCATTTCTTACGGTTACCACTTCTCACGTTTCCTGTTTTTCAAGTTTTTATTACATATTATAATTGTTTTTTTTTTTTGACCGTTAATAAACATCATCAAGTTTACCATTTCTCAGTATTCCCATTTCTCACGTTTTTTCATATTTTTTCATTTGTAACCTTTCTCATTTCAAACGTTTCCCATTTCTCATTTATTTTTATTTCACATTTCTCATTTTTCAGGTTTTCCATTTTCACGTTTCCAATTTCTCATTTTTCTTGTTTTCCATTTCTCGCCTTTCTTCATATCTTTTTATTCTCACGTTTCTCATTTCTTACATCTAATTTCCGATTTATCACGTTTCCCGTTTCTCACGTTTTCCACCTCTTACGTTTCCTGTCTTTTACGTTTCACATTTCTCACGTTTTTTCATATCTCTTCATTTGTCACGTTTCACATTTTCAACATTTCTTATTTATTCAATTTTCGATCCCTATTTCTCACATTCCCCATTTCTCACGGTTCCTATTTCTCTGATTTCTCATCTCTCACGTTTACTCATATCTTCTCGTTTATCACGTTTTTGTTACTAACATTCCGCATTTCTCATTTATTTTTATTTCATATTTCTGACACTACATTTCTGAGATTTCCAAGTTCTCACGTTTCCTATTTGTCACATTTCTGATTTTCCATTTGTTACATATCTGAGATCCCATTTCTCATTTCCCTCATATCTGATTTCTCATTTCTCACATATGTATCTGATTTCTCATTTCTCACGTTTTCTCATATCTTCTCGTTTATCACGTTTTTATTTCTAACATTTCGCATTTCTCATTTATTTTCATTTCATATTTTTGACACTTCACATTTCTGATATTTCCAAGTTTTGACGTTTCCCATTTCTCACATTTCTGATTTACCATTTCTTATGTATTTCGTTTCTCAGGTTTCCCATTTCCCACTTTTTCCATTTTTCATCTTTTCCATTTGCACATTTCTGATTTACCATTTCTCAGATATTTGAGATCCCATTTCTCATTTCCCACATTTCTATTTTCCCATTTCTTACGTTTTCCGTTTCTCACATTTCTCATTTCTCACGTTTTACATTCCTCACATTTTTCATTTCTCATGTTTCCCATTTCTCTCATTCTCATTTACTTATTCTCAGTTCTATTTCTTACATTTCCTGTTTTTCCCGTTTCCTATTTCTTACTGTTTCCATTTTTCATCTTTTACATTTTCACATTTCTGATTTCCCATTTCTCGCATATCTGAGATCCCATTTCTCACATTTCTGATTTCTCATTTCCACGTTTCCCATTTCTCCCATTTCTCATTTGTCACGTTTACTATTTCTGACATTTCACTTTTCTGAGATTTCCAAGTTCTCACGTTTCCCATTTCCCACGTTTTCCATTTCTTACATTTCCTGTTACTTCCGTTTCTCATTTCCTACTGTTTACATTTTTCATATCTTCCAGTTTCATATCTCTGATTTCCCATTTCTCGCATATCTGAGATCCCATTTCTCACATTTCTGATTTCTCATTTCTCACATTTCTGACTTCCCATTTCTCACATATTTGAGATCCCATTTCTCATTTGTCACACGTTCCCATTTCTAACATTTCTAATTTCTGGATTCTCACATATGTATCTGATTTCTAATTTCTCACATATCTGATTTCCAATTTCTCATGTTTTAATAATAATAATAATAATAATTTTTATTGAACCAATTTTAAATAAATTAATTAAAAAAGCATTGGTACAAAAGGTTCGGATACAGCAAAAACTGATATTAATCAAAAAAATTTTACATTGCTCACATATCTAATTTCTCATTTCTCACATTTTTCATTTCTCACGTTTTCTCATTTTATCTTCTCGTTTATCACGTTTTTATTTTTATATTTATATTTTTGACATTTCACATTTCTGAAATTTCCAAGTTCTCACTTTTCCCATTTATTACATTTCTGATTTCCCATTTCTTATGTTTCTCATTTCTCAGGTTTCCCATTTCCCACCTTCCCCATTTCTCACGTTTCCTATTTCGTCCGTTTCTCATTTCCTACTTTTTCCATTTTTCATCTTTTTCATTTTCACATATCTGATATCCCATTTCTCACGTTTCCCATTTCCTACTGTTTCCATATTTTATCTTTTTCATTATTACTTTTCTGATTTCCCATTTTTCGCATATCTGAGATCCCATTTCTCACATTTCTGGTTTCTCATTTCTCACGTTTTCCATTTCTCACAAACACGAATGGATTTTTTTACCTAATTTTATTTATTATTTTCATTGCAGTAGGTGTAACACAAAACACTCATTTATTTATGTAACAGGAGCAGACATGTCGTCAACATTAGGAAATCAATTCCTTAAATTTTTATAAAATTCGAAAATTTTAGTTTTATTGGTATTTATCTCGGTTCAAATTTAGAAAAAAAAAGATTAATAAAAATTGTACATGGACTTACATATGGCTCCGGATTTACGAAGTTGTGTGGTCTTTAACATTGCAAGAAAGCTATCTTTTTAAGTTTATGCTTAATTTATTAAAAGTGTATTTATCTTAAATATTAAGTACATTTTCTCACCATATCTGAAAGAAATCATAACAGTGCCATTAAAAATTACGTAACAAGTAACCCTCAATTTGTCGAAATTAATTTCTGTATGTATTTGTAGGAACATAATGTAGACATCGACAGTGGCGTAACCTTCGTGATAGTCTTATAATCATAAATTTGAATGAGGGAATCATTGCGGTTAAATTACCATAGAAACGATGTTTTCTCAAATTTATTTTTATTTTTCTTAAGAATCGTCGATGTATCCCTTCACCATCTCTCAACAGTTTCCAATCTCCACGTCGCTTAAAAACGATACAATTTTTTTTCTGAAGTAGTATGGTGGGTGTAGGGAATTATCTCGCAGCTCCCGATCTCCGCTACTAATTTCGTAATCTTGCTCATCCTGTTCGGACTCGGAATGGTTAGTGCACTTTCCACTTTTGACTATCTTAAACATTAAAAATTCTTCAACGGGAGTTTCACAGATATTTTCGGTAGTTAGGTTTTATGCGTTTTTTTTTTTATTATTAAAAAATAGTCCAGCGAGATTATTCTCTGAACTCTCAAATTGGTCAGTGGTACTGTATTAAAAAATTACGCATTTGACTTGAATTACAATATGAAATATAATGGCCAAAGAAAAAATGATACGAGTACCAACAAAAAAAATGGACATATTTTATTGTGCTAAGGAAACGTAGATAAGTCTCTAGTTAAGACGTTACAGAATCTTTTCTTACTTTTTCCGTAAGTGGTATTGCTGTGATTTGACAGTTATGTGTGAATATAACTGTCGTTGTTACCAACGTCATTATTTTAAAAATAAATTTCATGACCTACTTGCGGACTTTTTATCATCATATGGCATTATCTGTGAAGTAGACATTTTTAAGACTGCGTCGTTATTTTGTCTTAAGTTAAGTCAATGTCAACATTCAGTACCTGCATGTCTCGCAGCCAACTCTAATTCGTCACAGTTTCGATCGCACGGTTGTTTTAAGCAACAATTAATTTAGTAGATTAAATTTACGACCCTTCCAAAATTGACGTACAATTAGCGGAAAACATCTTTTAATGAGGTTAGTGTAATAACTCAGTGGATGCGACATTGAGGCCGTAATCAATAATAATTTGAACGAAGTTTGCAAATTGAATTGCCGACCTTGAACGCGCTATTTTCAGATATTAATGAAAACACGACAGCCCCTGGAGAGTTATATATTCTCCGCAGACCCCCTAATGACTAAACCCACTTCCATTAATCTAAACCCTCCGAACAAATTTTCAAAATTTCCACCACCACCAACAGGACATGCACGTGTTGCTAACGCACCAATAACAATTTCAGTTGCGTCCTTCTTTATTGATAAAACTTGGTTCGATAACTCGAAGTTCGTAAATAACAGTCCCGATCAACATTTAAACAATTCATGGTGTAATTTCCTCCCGCATGCGTTATTCACGTGAAGGTTTCCCAAGCTGGTGGCATTTCTTATTAACGCACAGGTGTGTTTTCCCAAAACCGACCTTCATAGTAATCTCGGTAGTAAGAACCACCATATGCGACAGAAGCAAAACAAGAGGCGGACTCGTCCATTCATGAGCCCCAATGCAGAATGACCTGATAACGTATCGATCTGGAGGCCGCGCATGCTGTTACATACAAGTTGACAGAGCAATTGTGATGCGTTAGAGTTGTGTTGTTGATTGTCGCGCCTCTTCAACCCTGTGTTTGACTTTGGTCTTTTTTCCATGTAGTACACGAACGGCAACAGAGCCACTTTCGTCGCAACGCCGGATGAAGATATGATTGACATCACAACTTCAGGAGGCGGAGAGAGGACGACGAGATTGGGCGAAGATGAGGATGGCACGTCACATTGTGAGTATTTGTTGTAAACAACACGGTAGTGTGGAACGTCAACTTGATGTTGACGCTGGGTGTTGGGGCTCAATGAGATGCCGGAAAGGGAGAAGCGATAATGCGATTGGGGATTCAATTTTGTTTGGGTTGGATAATGTGGGTTTCACTCGGACGTAGTAACATATGGGTGCTGTAATGAATTGATTTTTGTTGTGATTGTAGGCTAATGTGGACACATGCGTATCGTTGTTTCATTGGAAACGAGCATTTCGAAATTAATCGCGATATTAATTATAGTTTGACAATCGTTCCGAAATTGGTGTCTTTGTTTTTTGACTTGCACCTTTCTTTTTATTAGTTTAATACATATTTTGGTTTCTTGGTCGATATCAAAAAATTTCTCGTTAGAATGTGCCGTGGAAAAATCTTGTCTCTTTGATTGATGTTATTATCGTTTTTTGGATAGCCCTATCAATACTACAAGCGTGGACCCGACCATAAAAAACTCTTTAACTTGCCTAGCAACACACTTGACGACAAAATTTTATCACTGTTTTTTTCCCACCAACAAACTTTTGACGTTTATCCAATTCCATATTTTCCTCCAATTTTGTGATGACGTCCCCTCGAAATTTTTCATAGAAAACAGGATTTAAATTTTACATTTATAAGCGGAGCTCCTACAAGGTTATTTATTAGTCAGCTTATTGCGTACAGTGTTCAAGTTGCCAGTGCTTGTTGCACCGAGCACTGGCAACTGGCACACTGTTACTGCTATATCGATATTTTTCAAGAACGGTGCACCCCATTTTTTCAAAAATGTCACCCAAAATAATATTCAAAATCAATCAAATTTCATTTTCTTTTAATTTTTGACGCTGATGTTCGTTATCTGAACGTGCCAATTTGAACGTATGAAAGTAAACAAAGCGGGATTTGTTATTGTGAAATAACCTTCAACCAATTTTTGATAGGTAGAAGATACAAAATTAGAATGAAGCAACTCATTTTAGTGATCAAGTCAAAAACGGCTGCTCTAACTGTCTCAAAATTCTGGGACTACCATACTGTTATTGGTAGTTGAAACTAATGTGTATCTTCTCACCACAAAATCTATGGATGTCATGACAAAATTTTATTAAGAGTGTCTGAAGCATGCAACATAGCATGTTTTATGTGGTTTAATAATCCAAGCGTACCTTTATTTTGATATCAGATGCAGGTCAGATTTTGTAATTTATCTAGGAAATTAGACTTTTAACTTTTCGAACTTTATGTTTTCTGAACGTTTCGTGGCCCCTAGAATACGAAAAAGTGGATATCCTATTTTTTCGCCTGTCTGTCTGCCTGACTGTGTTGATTTTGATTATACAGATCATTTCCGCAATTAGTGGACCGATTGTTGTCAAATTTTGTATGCATTGTTACAAAGTTTTTCAAAAATAAAACAGTGGAGACCCCAAGATTGTTTCAAATTCTTTCAAAAACAAGAGAACACGGGTCACCGATATTGCTTCAATTTTTTCCAAAAACAAGACAGGACGCCCCGAGATTGTTTCAAATTATTTCAAAAACATGACACCACAGGCCTCCAAAGTTATTAAAAAATTTTTCAAAAACAGGACACAAAGGGTTATTGAGATTGTTTCAAATTTTTCCAGAAAGGAGACACAAGGGGTCCCCGCGATTATTTCAGATTTTTTCAAAAGTAAGACAGAAAGGGGCACAGAGATTGTTTCAAAATTTTCTAAAATTAAGACAGAAGGGGACCCCGAGATTGTTTAAAACTCTTTCAGAAACATGACATCATAGGCCCCCAAGATTCATTCAAATTTTTACAATAACAAGGCAGACGGAGCTCCCGAGTTTGTTTAAATTTTTTCCAAAAACAAGACATATAGGGCCCTCGAAGTTGTTTTAAATTCTGTAAAAATAAAGACCCCGAGGACCTACATGATTTTTTCAAATTTTTCCAAAAACAAAACAGAAGGCGCCCCCGAGATTGCTTCAATTTTTTCAAAAACAAGATAGAAGAGGCTCCCAGATTGGTTCAAATTTTTCTAAAAGGAAGACAGACGGGTCTCTCGAGGTGGTTTAAAAATTTTCCAAAAATCAGGGTGAAGGAGACCCACAGATTCTTTAAAACTCTTTCAGAAACATGATATCACAGACCCCCAAGATTGTTTCAAATTTTTCCAATAACAAGGCAGAGAAGGCCCTCAAGATTGTTAAAAATGTTTCCAAAAACAGAATGGCAGGGGACCTCAACGTTTAAAATTTTTCCAAAAACAAGACGTATAAAGCCGTTCAAGTTGTTTCAAATTCGCTCAAAAAAAGACCTCGGGGACCCCCATGATTGTTTCAAATTTTTCCAATAACAAGGCAAACAAGGCCCTCAAGATTGTTGAAAATGTTTCCAAAAACAGGATGCCAGAGGACCCTAACGTTTCAAAATTTTCCAAAAACAAAATGTATAGGGCCTTCCAAGTTGTTTTAAATTCTCTCAAAAAAGACCCCGAGGACCCCCATGATTGTTCCAAAAACATGACAGAAGGGGCCGCCGAGATTGCTTGAAATTTTTCCAAAAAACAGGACAGAAGGGGTCTGCGAGATTGCTTAAATTTTTTTCAAAAACGAGAGAAGGGATCCCCGAGATTTCTTCAAATTTCTCCAAAAAAGGGCCCCGAGATTGTATCAACTTTTTCAAAAACAAGACAGAGGGATCCCCGAGTTTGTTTCAAATTTTTACAAAAATAAAACAGAAAGAGCCCTCGAGATTGTTTCAAATTTTTCCAAAAAGAAGGCAGAGGGGGCTCCCGGGGTGGTTTCAAAATTTTCCAAAAATAAGACAAGGGGCCCCCACATTGTTTAACACTCGTTCAGAAACACGACATCACAGGCTCCAAAGATTGTTTAAATTTTTTCCAAAAATAAGACAGAAAGGGTCCTGAGATTGTTTCAAATTTTTTGAAAATCGAAAATATCAAAAATTAACTATGTAGTTACAAAGCCTAAATGAGAATATGTAAAAATGTACGGGGTATTTCATTAAAAAAACTAAGCGTTGAGGTACGCTTTAGAAAACAATACTCTGTATACATAGTTAAAAATAATTTTAGTGTATAGTCATTAAAAAACTGTACACTATTGGTCTTGCCTTTTTTTCTCTCTATAATAATAGTTAATGGGATATCGAAAACCACACGCTTAGAGAATCACCTGTATATCTACACACTTGTCCTTATCAAAAGACTGATGACATAATTTCAGGAAATTATTTAATAATAATTTAAGTTCGTTTTCGGAATTTTGGGATAATGTATAAATCAAACCAAAAAATCAGAAGAAGAATGTTACGATTTTTCACTCTTAATGATTCTAATACAATTGTAAAAAAAGTATCTAATACTTGCTAAGGTAAGACTGATTTTGGCCAGTGATATACCCTCTAAGAAATAAACGATGGGTGAATGACGCTAGTACTTGCTAAGATAAGACTGATTTTGGAAAATGATGCACCTTCCATGAAAAATTAGGGCGGGTGGGCGGGGCTAGTATTTTCTAAGATAAGACTGAACAATATCAAGAGTAGTCACTAGAATGAAGTCTCTGTAGAAAAAAGCTAAACCTGACCCCCCCCCCCCCCCCATTTCTTTTCTCCATTTCACTGACTTATTTTATTTGCTGTAAAATGGGTAGAATGTAAAATTTAAAACAAAGTCAGAAAGGTAGTATTCCATTCGAACTGGGGGAACGAGGTAACGGTTGAGTTTTGGGTAAAAGTTTCGGGGGAATTTTGATACCAAAATGCCGATAATTCAATAATCTAAATCTATTTTTCTGCGAAAACAATCAAAGAAAATACACCAAGCGCTCCTACAACTTTCTTTTCGAGTTCTCTTCATGTGTCAATTAGTTCGTGTTGTGTTTTCGTAAAGTGAAGTTCAAAAGTGTAAAAATGTTTTAAAAATTGTTTATCATCTAGTATTTTGTGCAATTTTTAAAAATACCCAAAGTCAAATCGTCTTTAAAGGACAAGTTAAGAAAATGGACGAAAAACAACATTTTTCAATTGTTCTGTAAAGCCTGTAGGAAAATCGTTCGCCTTCAAATTAGCATAATTCCTTCAAATGTCTAGCACTAAAAAAGTCTTAAATTATTTTAATGTAGTTGTGTTTTACGTAACGAGTTTGGTTTTTCGCTATTGTTGCAACATCAAAGCTCGGTTTATAGAACGTCGTGTTAAATTTTAACAGTGAGGTAAGTTAACTCGCATTCCCATTGGTTGAAGTACCTGGTTTTGACCAATGAGATGTCAGCATTTCAAATTAACTGGATGTTAAAATTTAACACGCAATTAAATATTTAACTTGCGTTCTAGCTATAAACCGGCCCTTAGACAAATAGAACAAGAAAAATATTTGTTTTCATAGGAAACAATTGTCGTATTTAAAAATTCAGATCCGCCATCTTTAAAAATGGAGGATTAAAATGTGCACAAAATTTTTAGTCACCTTGCCTTAACATACGGGAAACAAATTAAATTTTATTTTTCTATGGAAGTACCCTCTATTTTCTTAAAGGGTACGTTATTTGTCAAAATCAGTCTTATCTTAGCATTAACCCGCCCACCCGCGTTCTTCTCATTGTACAACGACTAATTTTATTTCTGTTCTGCATAAGATCTACCTATCAGTCAGACCAGATAAAATAAATAACTGAAATGTCGATTGGGGGGGGGGTGGGGGGGTGGGGGGCGCTAATTATATTTTTCCACTTTTGATCTTATTTTAAATCTTAGATTTTACCGATTGTCAAAATAGATATTCAATTCCCATTTTACAATAAATAAAATAGGTCAGTGAAATGACTAAAGCAAGCACTAATAAGACGTATAGGACCCTCAAAGTTGTTTTAAATTCTTTTAAAAAAAGACCCCGGGGACCCTAATGATTATTTCAAATTTTTTCAAAAACAAGACAGAAGGGGCTGCCGAGATTGCTTCAAAATTTTCCAAAAATAAGACAGAAGGGGCTTACGAAATTGCTTCGATTTTTTTCAAAAACAAGACAGAACAGACTCCCCAGATTGATTCAATTTATTTCAAAAACATGAGAAAGGGTGCTTATGAGGTTGTTTCAATTTTTTTCGAAAATAACAGAGAAAGGGGCCTGAGATTGAATTTTTTCCAAAAAAAACAAGACAGCGATCCCGAATCTGTTTTAAATTTTTTCAAAAATAAGACAAAAGTTGCTTACGAGATTGCTTCAATTTTTTTTTTTTTTTTTTAAACAAGACGAGACTCCCCAGATTCTTTTAAATTTTTCCAAAAAGAAGACAGAGGGGGCCCCCGGGGTGGTTTTAAAATTTTCCAAAAATAAGACAGAACGGGACCCTGGGATTGTTTAAGACAGAAGGGGCCCCGAGATGGTTTCAAATTTTTCTAAAAACAAGACAAAAGTAGGAATATACGAGCCTATTCATCCCCACCAAGAATTTTATGTCATCACTTCAACATTTTGTGAAGTAAAGAATATTTAATTTTTTTTAAATAATGTGCTCGTATTCTGGTTGTTTATGAACCTTGATTTATTATTTGTTATTATAATTTTTATTGTTTAATTCTTCCTCTGTTTTAATATGTATGTAATACGGAGTTCTAACTCAATACCCATTTTTTTTAATCAAATCAACGGTTCATTCCATTTTAATGAAAATGTAAAAATACAATAAATGCAATAATGGCGCGTCTGCCTATATTAAATAATAATAATAAAAAACGTATTATATAGGGACTTTGCTAACTTGATATCATTAATCCTTTTGACAATCAGATATGTCATCATAAAATTTTAAATATGTAGCCAACTTGACAAAAAATAAACATTAAGATGGCGTTGAATTACATTACAATAAAGTCATTATAAAAGATTGTACATCAAGTCGCTTTTCAAATTTGGTGAATTTTGACGTCATAGAACGGTTATTTCATGTACAATATTTTATAATCACCTGTATTAGAATTGAAAAACTACTAAATAAATCTTTTTGGGAAAAAACTAACATGCACGAAGAATTAGTTATCCTTTAAATGCGAGAATAATTCCATCTAAATAACTTCCAACCAATTTTTTCCCCAGGGTTGTGGTTTTTTTGGGTCGTTATACTTATCTCGTATTATTAAACTCAGCCAAACTTTCCATCTTTCGGATCATAACAATACTTGGCCAACTTTTTTAATAAATGTTTTACCAGTTAATCTCTGGTAGCTTAAAAACAGTGGATGCATGATTTTAACACTTGTTGGATTTCATGGATTAAAGATCAGATCAATAAAGAGTCATTTATATCTTCATTGTTGATTTAGTTGGAACTTTGATAACTGAACGAAATTACTCTATTTTCAAACATACGTACTGTAGCATTTTAAACGCAAGTACTTTTTTACTAGTAAAAATAATAATAATTTTAAAAACAAATAAAAAAAAGGAATCCTTTGACAGCATTATGTAAATAAATACTAGCAAAACCATTTTATTATAACCGTTGTTTACTTACAAGGAATTCATTTTTTTCCCATTTTTTTCAATAAATTCTTTCAACACTGTTGTACGTATAAACGCACTCACACACACGCTACCTTCAAAGTTTTACTTATCCAAGTCATGAACAGGATTTATATTCATATACTTCTATAAAGCACAATTTATGACCTATAATAATATGAACAAAACTATACATAATGCTTAAAAACGTACTTAACTTAAAAATAACCATAACATTCAAAAATAAATACGTTAATTGATAAACACTACGATTGTTCCAATTACATTTTCCAACGTTTTCATAACTTCGTGTTTTATTTCCAGATTCAGTATCTTTCGGAGGCATGCAAGGTAAGTATCCACTCCCACTCCCAGAATAAACCCTCTACCGACAAATCCGTCAGAAAACGTCGATATTCCTGGTATCGGCCAATATGACGATTTCCACACTATCGATTGGCAACGGGACATCGCCAGAGACCGGATGCGACACCGGCACATCATCAAAAAGAAACAGGATTCCCTATGGAACTTGATAGAGGGAGCACATGACGCGTGGTCGGGATGGCTATGTGTCCTGTTGGTTGGATTGTGCACTGGTATGGTAGCCGGTGGTATCGATATAGGCGCTAGTTGGATGACAGATCTCAAATTTGGTATTTGTCCACAAGCTTTCTGGTTGAATAGGGAGCAGTGCTGTTGGTCGTCGAACGAAACCAGTTTCGACTCGGGAAACTGCTCCCAGGTTTGTATATTTTCTGTAATATGTCTCTGGGGTCTTTAAAAAGGGATTCTTGTTGTTGGTTTTATGGATTGAATCCAAGGGGGCAGTTTATTTCATGATGTACAGTTTGTTGTAAACAAACAGGTATAAAAATGCATCCGTGTTTAAGCGCCTTATTTAAAAAAAAAAGAAAATTTAGACTGTTTTTGTTAGCTAGTTTTAACTAAAATTCATCAATATCTGGTGTGTTGTTACGACGTAAATAACAAACGAGGATTAATGTTATCAGTAAGTTGAATTATGCAAAAATTCGTGGAATTGTTTTTATTGCGCTTCATCGATCAGACTTATTTTTAAGGTTTCACTAAGACAGGTTTTATTTAATGAAGCTTTCAGTATTTATTTGACTTTGTGTACTTTGATTGTATATGTTATTTAATTTAAGTTTAATTTCCCATATTATTGAATTTTATAAATCAAAAAATATTCTTCGAACTCGATCGTTTAAAAAAAAAAAACACAAGTCTACTGTTTTCTAATAAACGACAAAGCTGTTATTACAAATTGTAAAGCAAAAGTTTAATTTTGTCAACATTGTTTATGAATGCGACAAATTTTTCAACCTTACATTTATAAGAAGATAACCCAAGGAAAATTCTGGGAATTTTGAATATATTGTACTCTACCGACTACCAACAGACTTGCTAGGTTTTCGTGGAAAAATTTCTAAAACGGAGCAAGAATTTGCACATTGAGAACATTTCTAATGAGGCGTCTAAAGATCTGACAATTCATGAAAGAAACATTTTTCAGAAGTACTCTGTCTCAGTTCAACAAAATGAGTGGAACAGTGATCTAAAATTAGCAAATTGATATTGCAACGAGTGTCTTTCAACTCTTCCGTTTCCGTCTGTCTGTCTGTCTTTCGTCTGTCAGACAAAATTTGACAACAATCGGTCCAGTGATTGCTGTCAAATTTTGTATATACAGCCTGTTATTGAAAGGTACGTACAAAATAAAATCGGCAATTGGTCTCGAAGTATAGGTGCTAAAAGTTAAAAAAAAATCAGGTAAAAGTGTTCTCCTTTTAGAGATAAAAATGATTAAAGTTTATGTCCAAATTCGTTGTACGCCTCTGATAAAAAGATCATCTTTCGTTTCCGTAGCAACATTTAGTCTTGACAAAAGTTTTATTGTTACAGTTGCTAGGATTTACTAAAATAAATTAATTTTACCTATTTAACGTTCAGTAGCGTCTAAAGAGATTGGATAAGGGTTAATTTTCCCGTTATAATTTTGATAACATAAAATAAGTTTTTCCGACTTCTTAGACTTCGCGAAGAACTGTCCATTTTGTTGTACGTACCTTTCAATAACACCCTGTATGTTGGCAATATCATATAAGTAATAGTATAATCATATAAGTATAAGTAATATCGGTAAGTAAAACGCTAACCAAAATTTGTCTGCTCAGCCCCATCAACAATGGAAATGTTTTTTAAATTTTATAAAATAACTCCTCCATGTGTGGTTTATGAATCCGTGTTGAGTTTTTACTTTAGGCATCCATATTTTTAGAAAAAAAATCAAAATTGTAAAACATTGCAATTTAACTTTAAAATTGCAAAATCGAATGCTTTGAAATCTTGCAAACGTTAAAGAACATAAGCATGGTAAGTTGTTAATCAAAATTTATTTGTTCATGCCTTCACAGGAATTAATGATGTCATCTTATAATTTTGTGGAATAAGTGTTATTTAACTGTTAAAAAGTAACATATACCTAAACGTCTAGTTTATGAATCCATGTTAAATTTTTGTCGTAGAGATCGAGACTTTTGGAAAACAAAGCAGATATGTATACAAATTTTTCGATTTCTTAATTTCTAGACATACAATATTGTCGAATTTTGGGTTTTCAACTGTCTCAATTTTTCAGTATTTCAGTTTTGGAATTCTTCAATTTCTCGATTTCGTCATTTTTCGATTTCTCAATTTTCCGATGATTCAGTTTTACGATTTTTCAATTTTTCGACTTTTGACATTTCTAATTTTTCAATTTTTCGATTTTTCAATGTCGCGATTCACCATTTTTCCATTTTTCGATCCCTCAGTTTCTCGCTTCTTCAAATTTTTGATTTTTCGATTTCGTCATTTTTCGATTTCTCAATTTTCCGATGATTGTTTTACGATTTTTGACGTTTCAAAATTTTCGATTTTTCAATGTTTCGATTTTTCAGTTTTTCAATTCTTCAATTTTCCAGGTTTTTGAACTATCCAATTTCTCCATTTTTAAATTTTTTCGTCTTCAATTTCTGCATTCTTCAAATTTTTGATTTCTCGATGTCCCGATTGATCGATTTTTTTAATTTTCTCATTTATCGATTTTTCAGTTTTTCCATTTTTCCATTTTTCAGGTTTTTGATTTTTCGGCTATCCGATTTCACAATTTTTCCATTTTTCGATTTCTCAGTGTCTCGATTACTCCATTAATTTTCTCATTTCTCGATTTTTCAATGTTTCAATTTTTCAGGTTTTTGATTTTTCCATTTTTCGACTATTCGATTTCTCGATATTTCAATTTTTCGATTCCTGAATTTCTGGATTCTTCAAATTTTTGATTTCTCAATTTTCCGATGATTCAGTTTTACGATTTTTCAATTTTTCGATTTTTGCCGTTTCTAAATTTATAATTTTTCGATTTCTCAATGTCTCGATTAATCAATTTTTTAATTTTCTCGTTTCCCGATTTTCAATTCTTTTACTATTTTTCAATTCTTCAATATTTCTACTATGCTACTTTTCCATTTTTCAATTTTTCGTCCAGTTTTCAGGTTTTCGATATTTTAATTATTTTGGGATTTATCAATTTTTTGAAGTTTGGATTTCTCGTTTTTTCAATTTTTCGATATTTTAGTTGTCCAGTTTTTAAAATTTTAGAATTTTCGATTATTCGGTCTTTTGTTCTTTCGATTTCTCGATCTTTTCTTGATTTTAAATTTTTTTCGATTATTAACATTTTTGATTTTTTAATTTATCGGTTTTTAAAATTTTTCACTTTTTGATTACTCAATTTCTCGATTTTTTTAATTTTTCGATTTTGGCCGGTTTCAATTTTCCAATTTTCCGATATTCCAGTTTTGGGATTTTTCAATTTTTCGTCCATTTTTCAGGTTTTCGATATTTTAATTTTGGCATTTATCAATTTTTCGAATTTTAAATTTGAATTTTTCAATTTTTCGATTTTTTGAAGTTTGGATTTCTCGATGTTTCAATTTTTCGATATTTTAATTTTCCAGTTTTTAAAATGTTAGATTTTTCGATTTTTCAGGTTTTTGATTTTTTCGACTATTCGATTTTTCAATTCTTGAATTTCTCGGTTCTTCAAATTTTTGATTTCTCGATTTCGTCATTTTTCAATTTTTGACGTTTCTAAATTTTCAATTTTTCGATTTCTCAATGTCTCGATTAATCGATTTTTTAATTTTCTCATTTCTCGATTTTTCAATTTTTCGGTATTTCAAGTTTCTGATTTTTCAGTTTTTCTGCTATGCGACTGTTCCGTTTTTCAATTTTTCGATATTTCAGTTTTGGGGTTTTAAATTTTGTCCTTTCGATTTCTCGATCTCCAAATTTTTCGACTTTTCTTGATTTTAAATTTTTTTCGATTATTAAAATTTTTGATTTTTTAGTTTAGCGCTTTTTTAAATTTTTCGCTTTTTTGATTATTCAATTTCTCGATTTTGCCCTGTTTTAATTTCTCAATTTTTCGATTTTTCAACGTTTTGGCTTTTGATCTCCCGATTTCTCATACTTCCGACGTTTCAATTTTCGGCTTTTCCATTTTCCAACTATTCGAAATTTCGATTTTTCAATTTCCCAATTTTTTGTAATTCCAGTTTTTCAGCTTTTCGATTTTCAATTTTTCGATTTTTCAGTTCTTCCATATTTCTGTTTTTCCATTTTTTCGAATTTTTAAGTTTTTGCTTTTTAATTTTTCGATTTTTTAATTTGCGACTTCGATTTTTAGATTTCTTGATTTTTCAAGTTCTCAATTTCTCAACATTTCGATTTTGAGAACTTTTCAATTTTTGGATGTTTTCATTTTTTAACGTTTTGATTGCTCGATCTTTCGATTTTTAGACTTTCCGGATATCTATTTTTCGGTTTTTCAATGTCTTGATTTTTCATTTTTTGATTTTACAGTTTTATTTTTCAATTTTTCAGTTTTTACATTTTTCGAAAAGCATTTTTTCCCGTTGGTTGTCTGCTTTAAATATATTTCATATTGTCTTATTTTTTTTATTGCTACTTTTAGAGTTTCCAGATAATTGAAAAACTAAAAAAAATCAAAAAACAATTGATTTTTGATTGTAAAAAAAAATATAATTGACAATAAAAAAAATAGAAAGGACCCTTTTTCACAAATTACGAATAAACATGTGGCGCCACTTTTTTTTATTGTTATTATTATCGACGTAATTATGCTTAATGAGGACAATTTAAAAACAATATTTTATATTATCAGCACCGTGCCAAGTACGAATGAGTCAAATTTTAGATGGCATGAGTTCGCAGAATTATAAACATATCTTAAAAATGTTGGTTAAGGCGGCTTTTGTTCTTTCAAATCTATGTCGATCTAAAGTAGTTAGCATGCTTAAACCGTACCCACTACTGTGATCACCCTTAACTGACCATTTAATATTTATTTCACCACAAAGGAGAATATTGATCTTGAATAAATAGACATTATTGACTAAGTTGTGTGAAGAATACCTCTATTTAGTTAATATTCGTGAATTAATAGACACAATATATAGGCAAATATTATTGTCAAACATATGTTGATAAAATCATTAGTGTAAATTGTTAAAACCAATATTATTGTTTTAATTTATTGTAAACATTTAGATGTCCATATTCCAGATCACGTTTCATGACATTGCCAATTCGTTAAAAACACCCAAATTCCCTGTAAAGGAAAAAAGATAATCAAATTAAAACTTAAATGATCAATCTTCCGTACAACACTAATAAAATAAAGAAAAATCAATTTACAACGTACAGAATTACGGTAAGAGGAAGTTTCAAACCCCATTTTCTCTCAAATTTTATTTTATAGCTTGATGTAATTCCGCGTTATTGCATTTAGAAAATAATAAACTTAACGACCGGCCGGAGCTGCTTCCGCTGCCTTGATACCTCTAAACTAAGTGAATTGTGGGTCGTAAAAGCATGTTATTTGAAATGGGAAAATACGGAAAATGAAATTATATCACTGTAACTGAAACCCACAAAATTCAAATACTCTCCACACGATGAAATTTTACAGGGTATATTAGTGTCACTTAAGCTAACAATGCTCGAACAACCTCCCTCAAAGATCCTCGTCTGTCCGTGACGTAAAAGTTAAATTCATAGTAGAGCAGGGGATTTTTCATTTTTAGCTTGTAAAATTTTATTAGTGTGGTTGATATAATTTGTGAAGCCAACACTGGAAACCTGTATATCGTTACATTAAAACGTGCAATCTAGTGAACGTTTAGTGATGGAGATTAATTGCAGTGGTTGACATGGCCTGAGATGCTCGGACAGTCCCGAGAAGGAGCTGGAGCTTACATAATTTCCTACTTATTTTACATAGTGTTGGCCCTTTTATTTGCCGCATTGTCAGCCTCTTTGGTTCGTATGTTTGCGCCCTACGCTTGTGGATCTGGTATTCCAGAGGTAGGTACCATGATAATGTAAGCCGCCTTAGTTTAGCTACGTCGTTTCAGATTAAAACAATACTGAGCGGATTCATTATCCGAGGGTATTTAGGAAAATGGACGCTCATCATCAAATGCGTGGGCTTAATCCTGTCTGTTTCGGCAGGTCTCAGTTTAGGGAAAGAGGGACCCATGGTCCATATAGCTTGTGCAATAGGTAAATATTACTCTTAGTGATATTTAGTCAATCAGGAAGTTGTAATAAGATTGTCGCGTCAATAGATTTGCTTCCATGTTATAGAAAGTATAGCAATCAAAAAATTGTAGGTAATATTTTATCATATCTCTTTCCCAAGTATGGGAGAAATGAAGCCAAGAAAAGAGAAATTTTGTCGGCCTCGGCGGCGGCGGGCGTTTCTGTAGCCTTTGGGGCGCCGATCGGAGGCGTACTTTTCAGTTTAGAGGAGGTGAGTAGTAATTTTAAATGGTTGACGTCATTTCACCGCTCAAAATCACAAAACAACACCTTTCAGTGACCCTAACACCCCTTGACCTCACCAATCAATCAGATAACTAATTATTCTCAAGAGGTGTTAAATAGTTCCTTTATCGTCACAGCGACACCTATGACGTCCTACGCCATTCATCTATCCGTCTAAATTTTGTCCGCTCTTAATAACTTCCGCACGAAAATGTCGTCAGCGTTCCCCGTTTTGGAAAAGAATAAATCTTTCATTGACCCTTGCATAACACATTTAATTTCATTGCCAAAAACACACCTCAGATCACCATCAATGCCACATACTTAAATAATAATTAAGCACATAATACAGCACACCCAAACCCGTACAATAATTTTTTGTGTATTTGTATGTTAAGGTCAGCTATTATTTCCCGCTGAAAACCTTATGGAGATCTTTCTTCTGCGCTCTGATCGCCGCATTTATTTTAAGATCGATTAATCCGTTCGGAAACGAGCACTCGGTCCTCTTCTACGTGGAATACAATAAGCCGTGGATTTTCTTCGAGTTGATACCCTTCATAGGGTTGGGGATTATCGGGGTAAGCAAGTACACAAACGAGGGAAATTTAATCTGGCTCATCTTTATTAATGAAGGGTATAATCGCAACGATATTCATCAAGGCCAACCTCTACTGGTGTCGGTACAGGAAGTATTCGAAATTGGGTCAATATCCTGTGACGGAAGTTCTTGTGGTGACCGTGCTGACCGCCATCATCGCCTACCCCAACCCCTACACTCGAATGAACACGAGTCAGTTGATTTATTTGCTGTTCAGTCAATGTGGAATCTCGAATTCGGATGATTTGTGGTAAGTCGTAGGATAAATAACTTCTCATTCGTGAAGGAAAAGAATTTTTTTCATGATGGGTTCAACTAAGTAACGTTTTGGTACCAAAAAACTGTTCATTTTTTCGACGTTTAACAACTTATAAAAAGCGAAAAAGTTGGTCTCACGTTTCCGCCTGTTTCTATTCGTTGGCGGTTTGGTGAGACACAATTTCCGAAACTGCTGAAGCGATTACTTTGGGATTTTAGATAAACTCTAAGATCATTATGTAGCCGTCCTTGTAAAATATGTATGTCGGCATCCTAAAATCCTCTTTAGTAAAACTTACTTGAAAACTAGAAACTGTACTTACTTCGAAACAAAATACGGTTGCAAACGGTGTTAGGAAATCTTTAAGGATTTAAGTTTAAGTCTAAGAACTATAAGTAAAATCTCGTCGAGTTCAAGCGAAATGACCCGAAAACGTAATTATCATCTGTATTATGTCGAGTGTAGCGAATAATGGATGAAGGGTCCAACACTGTTACTTCGTGCATTTCGTGTTTTTTTTTTTGTGTGTAGGATTTTTAGAACACTATTTTTTTTGGTTGATTATAGTGTTTCGAATTTCAAAATTGATGACTATTTTTCGTAAAGTCAGGTAACAATAGCCTTCAAATACGTTTACCCACTTGAGAGCCTCAATGTAAACTCTGGCCATGGCAATATTAGGTCGGAGCAATTAATAAAAATAAGAGGTCAGTTTTAAAACTAATTTCTCAAAATTATAGATACATGTCATAATTTGCTACGCCACTGAAAAAAATAAGTAGTTTATTTAATCGAAAAAAAAAACGGACCTTAAATGCATCATTACATGGAATTAATAATTGACTTTCGCTCACATAAACATATCATTCCAGTTTAATATCAATAAACCGCTTTTTTCTCCATTTATAAAATTACTTTACCACCATGTGTTCATTTTTAATTTTTTTTCTATAACGACCTCTTATCATTTCAGTCGAAACTGCAGCCAGTATTGCCGCTAACCACTCATGGCATTTTTAAGTAAAGTATTTAATATGTTTATTTAGACGGTGGTCGATTTATTCGTTTACTTCAAATTTATGGCCAATTAAAAATCCTTCGATTTTAAAGTTCACCATTTCATTAATTATGCAAGTATGAATTTTTTATGACCCGGAACATCCATATAAAATTGCAAAAATAGGGAGTGATTTTTATTTCAAAAAATGTTTTATTTCCCGAAGGTAGGTTAGGCCTATTATATGGATTTTCAGCATTTCATAGTTCCTAGAATATGAAAAAGTGGGTCTCCCGTTTCCTTCTGTGTGTCGTCTGTTGGATATTGTATTAGAAAGATTATCTTTGAACTGCACTGGATATAAACTGAAAATGTGTAAAATAATAATAACAATCAAATGCATCTGATGCTTTATTAATCAACCAATGAAAAGATTTTTTTGTGGTTTAGCAGGGTATCCATTTTTTATTTTGAATTTTTGTTACTAGATGTTTTAAAAATAATGAATGAAACAATTTTATGTTATCGATTAAATCAAAAACTTTTTACTTTTTTCCCCGAAGTTCTGGATGTACTTTTTTTATTAATACTACCCTGTACGTAACAATATTGTCATATATTTGTTCCCACCAAAAAATTGATGACGTCACTAGAGGCTGAAATTTTACTTCACTTATTAAAAGTATATAAAATTTGGATTCAAAGACCGAGGTTCTGGGGCCTCTGGAAAATTTGCGATTTCCGATTGTGCCTGGTTTTTGAAGTAGTTTAAAAAAATTTCGGGGACTCCTTTTTTTTGTCTTTGAATAAATTGGAAAGAATCTCTTTTTGAAGCACATAATCTGAAAATCTCGGGAACCTCTTGTGTTTTTGAAGTAGCTTGAAATAATCTCCGCGATCTCGTGTGTTGTGTTTTTGAAGTAGTTTGAAAAAATCTCGTAGACCCCTTTTGTTATGTTTTTGAAGTAATTTAAAAGAACCTTGAGAAACCTTGTCTTGTTTTTGAAATAATTTGAAGGAATCTCAGGGACTCCTTGTGTTTTGCTTTGAAGTAGCTTAAAAGAATCTCGTGGACCTGTTGTGTCTGTTTTTAGAAGTAGTTTGAAAGAGTCTTGGGGATTCCTTGTCTTGTTTTTGAAGTAATTTGAAAAAATATAGGGGACGCATTGTGTGTTATTTTTGAAATAGTTTGAGGGAATTTCAAGGACTATTTTTGTTTTGTTTTTGAAGTAACTTGAAAGAATCTCAGGGACCTCGTGTGTCTGATTTTTGAAGTAGTTTGAAAGAGTCTCGGGGACCCCTTGTGCCTGGTTTTTGAAGTAGTTTGGAAGAATCTGAGGGATCCCTCGTCCTGTTTTTGAAGTAATTTGAAAATATCAGGAACCCTTTTGTTGTGTTTTTGAAGTAATTTGAAAAAAATTCGGGGACCGCTTTTGTTTTTGAAGTAGCTTTAAAGATTCTCGGGGATCTTTTGTGCTGTATTTTTGAAGTAGTCTGAAAAAATCTTGGGATCCAGTGTCTGGTTCTTGAAGTAGCTTGAAAGAATCTTAGACACCTCTTGTGTCTGATTTTTGAAGTAGTTTGAAAGAATCTTAGGACGTCTTGTGTCCGATTTTTGAAGTAGTTTGAAAGAATTTCGGGGACCTCTTGTGTTTTGTTTTTGAAGTAGTTTAAAAAAATCTCGGGGACCCCTTTTTTTGTCTTTGAATAAATTTGAAAGAATCTCTTTTTGAAGTACATAATTTGAAAATCTCGGGACTCCCTTGTGTTTTGTTTTTGAAGTGGTTTGAAAAAATTTCAGGGACCACTTTTGTTTTTGAACTGGCTTGAAATAATCTCGGCGATCTCTTGTGTTGTGTTTTTGAAGTAATCTGAAAACATCTTGGGATCCCGTGTGTATGGTTCTCGAAGTAGTTTGAATGACCCTTTGTGCCTGGTTTTTGAAGTAGTTTGAAAGAATCTCGGGGACCCCTTTTGTTATGTTTTTGAAGTAATTTAAAAGAATCTTGAGAAACCTTGTCTTGTTTTTGAAATAATTTGAAGAAATCTCAGAGATTCCTTCTGTTTTATCTTTGAAGTAGCTTAAAAGAATCTCGTGGACCTGTTGTGTCTGTTTTTTGAAAGAGTCTTGGGGATTCCTTGTCTTGTTTTTGAAGTAATTTGAAAAAATCTAGGGGACCCTTTGTGTGTTATTTTTGAAATAGTTTGAGAGAATTTCAAGGACTATTTTTGTTTTGTTTTTGAAGTAACTTGAAAGATTCTCAGGGACCTCTTGTGTTTGATATTTGAAGTAGTTGTTTTTGAAGTAATTTGAAAATCTCAGGAACCCCTTATGTTGTGTTTTTGAAGTGTGAAGAAATCTTGGGATCCTGTGTCTGGTTCTTGAAGGAGCTTGAAAGATTCTTAGAGACCTCTTGTGTCTGATTTTTGAAGTAGTTTGAAAGAATCTCGGGGACCTCTTGTGCCTGGTTTTTGAAGTAGTTTAAAAGAATCTCGGGAACCCTTTTTGTTTGGTTTTTGAAGAAGTTTGAAAGAATTTCAGGGATCCCTCGCCCTGTTTTTGAAGTATTTTGAAAAAATTTCGGAGACCGCTTTTATTTTTGAAGTAGCTTTAAAGAATCTTGGGGATCTCTTGTGTTGTGTTTTTAAAGTAGTCTGAAAAAATCTTGGGATCCCGTGTGTCAGGTTCTTCAAGTAGCTTGAAAGAATCTTAGGGACGTCTTGTGTCCGATTTTTAAAGTAGTTTGAAAGAATCTCGGGGACCCTTTTTGTTTTGTTTTTAAAGTACATAGTTTGAAAAAATTTCGGGGACCGCTTTTGTTTTTGAAGTAGAAAAAATCTTGAGACCCCGTGTGTCTGGTTCTTGAAGCAGCTTGAAAGAATCTTAGGAACTTCTTGTGTCTGATTTTTGAAGTAGTTTGAAAGAATCTTGGGGACCTCTTGTGCCTGACTTTTGAAGTAGTTTGAAAGAATCTCGGAGAACCTTTTTGTTTTCCTTTTGAAGAAGTTTAAAAGAAACTCAGGAACTCCTTATGCTGTGTTTTTGTAGTAGTTTGAAAAAATTTCAGGGACCACTTTTGTTTTTGAAGTAGATTGAAAGAATCTCGGCGATCTCTTGTGTTGTGTTTTTGAAGTACTCTGAAAAAATCTTGGGATCCCGTGTGTCTGGTTCTTGAAGTAGTTTGAAAGAATCTCGGGGACCCCTTTTGTTTTGTATTTGAAGAAGTTTGAAAAAATTTCGGGGACCACTTTTGTTTTTGTAGTAGTGTGAAAGAATCTTGGGGATTCCTTGTCTTGTTTTCGAAGTAATTTAAAAGAATCTCCGAGAATTCCTCGTTTTGTTTTTGAAGTAACTTGAAAGAATGTCAGGAACCTCTTGTGTCTGAATTTTGAAGTAGTTTGAATGAATCTCGGGGACCTCTTGTGCCTGGTTTTTGAAGTAGTTTGAAAGAATCTCGGGGACACCTTTTGTCTTGTTTTTGAAATAATTTGAAGGAATCTCAGAGACTCCTTGTGTTTTGTTTTTGAAGTAGCTTAAAAGAATCTCGGGGACCCCTTGTGTCTGGTTTTTGGAATTACTTTGAAAGAACCTCGGGAACCCCTTTTGTTTTGTTTTTTCGGAGATCCGTTGTCTTGTTTTTGAAGTAATTTGAAAGAATCTTAAGAGTCCCGTGACTTTATCATTTTGATACCTACTACCGAAAGCAGTAAAAACACGATCAGAGGCAGCTTTTGATTTATGAAGGTTTGTCTTTGATACATTTTTGTTTTGTCAGATTGCCGTTAATTTGAAGTTTTAGTGAAAAATAAAAAAAAAAACGACAAACGTTAAAAAATCCATGGCTGTTTTTGATCGTGTTTTTATCACGCTTTTATTAGCTTGGGTTGTATGTATGTATGTAACGGAATCTTTGAGTTTAATTTTCATCGGTTTCTAAAAGTCTGATCATCTTGAAACTTTGCACACGTCTCAAGGATCGATGACAATGCAATAATTTGGTAACAGTTTCCCATTATCCTTATTAGGACCGCCAGGATTTATAAATTCTTTTATGCATGTAACGGAATCTTTGAGCTTAATTTTCATCGGTTTCTAAAAGTCTGATCATCTTGAAACTTTGCACACGTCTCAAGGATCGATGACAATGCAATAATTTGATAACAGTTTCCCATTATCCTTATTAGGACCGCCAGGATTTATAAATTCTTTTATGGATCCTGTGTAGTGGAGTAAAAGAGATAAAGCTAGCGCGCGATCTGCGCATGCCTGTAGTATCTGGTTTACTCTTCGTTGTAATTATAGTCTTGATTAAAATACAAATAACGGATATTAAATGAAAAAAACAAGAACGGACTTTTAATTAACTAAACGTGTGCAAAAATGGCTGATCGCATCTTAATTGTGTCAGTATATACCACGGTTATCTCTCTCCGTGTCGATTATACCGATCTATACCGATTATTTCTGTTTCAAGGACAATTTCTGCATAGCTTTGGTTTTACAGTCGGTAAAGAAGGAATTAATTATAATTAAAACATATCTAATCATGAATTCTCACCAACTTAAATAAAGATAACAAATTTTGATTCAGGAATACAAACATGGAGGAAAATTAACTATTTGGGGGGTACCTACAACTAACCACAATGATGAATTGTGTCCCGTTGGTCCGTGAGGGCGATTGATTTCGAACTAATTCCCGTTGATCGATCATACGGAGACCACTGAGTGGTTCTTTCTAGAAAAATCTAAATAAGTAATTAATTCCCCAATTTATGAATTTGTCGCAGACTAAAAAATGAAAAATAAATAATAGTTTAAAAAACTAAAAAAACACGCTTTTATTGCTAATCGAACTAAAAACTAGAAAATAATTTTTAATGACAGAGTTTAATATTACAGTAGTAGAAGATCAAACAATCAATCATAATAAATCACCTCAAATTAAAATTATAATAAAATTTAAGTTATTAACAGAATAATTCAATTCAGAGTAAAAAGCGTGGGGTGCATTTTACTGCGGTTCATAACTATCCTCTCATAGATAGTTGCCAATAGAATGATTGTAATATTTAAAATATCAAGCACCCCACGCTTTTTACTCTGAATTGAATTATTCTGTTAATAACTTAAATTTTATTATAATTTTAATTTGAGGTGATTTATTATGATTGATTGTTTGATCTTCTACTACTGTAATATTAAACTCTGTCATTAAAAATTATTTTCTAGTTTTTAGTTCGATTAGCAATAAAAGCGTGTTTTTTTAGTTTTTTAAACTATTATTTATTTATTGTCCTCTCGATATAATTATCTGTGATAATAAGTCAAGTTGATAGGTAGCCAAAAAGTTTATTGTTTCTGTTGTTCCTGGGATCATGCTTCAGAAATGAACAAATCTTTAAAAAAACTCCATAGCTGCCTTCGATCCTGTTTTTTATTACTCCATCAGTTAAGTTAGGACACGGTCAAAATAAAGTGTACAATTATATTGGCCGTATTTTTTGCAGTGTATAGAAAATTTATTCGTAAACAATTTCTTTTTACATTATTTATGCAACAGAAACAGTTTCCTAAAATATAATTTTCTCAAATAATTTATATGTATTTAATATTTTTAGTTATTGCAGCCAATAGTTTTGTAAACTTATTTGCAAATAGTAACGTACTCCTATCCTTGTAGTTTATGAATTCGCCTTGATTTTTGACTTTCGAGATCCAGATTTCTTGAAAAAAAAATTCAAAATTACCGTAAACATGATAAATCGTTAAACAAAATTCGTCTGTTCATCCTCCAAAAAATTTTATGACGTCATCTCAGAATTGCTAGATATGTTCTATTTAAAATATGCAAAATATAAGTATCAATTTGTGATTTGTCATTTTCATAGTTCGTAGAATTGCTTCTAAAGGTAACAAACAACAAAACATGAATGAAGCGATCCATTCTAATTCAAAATTAATATGGCTTTGGTAAAATGTCAATGACGTCTTCAATGTTTTACTAAGAAAAAGTCACTTGAAATATACGCATAGTTTGCTTCTTTACCTACAGTGTAGCAGTTCACAGATATCTTGATTTTGGCGTAAAGGGGTTATATTAAAAAAAAAACATCAACCAAAATTTGTCTAATCCCCATCAAAAGTGGAATGACGTCATCCCACAATTTTATCAAGTAAATTCTGTTTAAAAAGTGTAAAATTATATGTTTCTGGACTTGTAATTTATTAATTTAAATTTGTGCATTCAGGTGTAAAAAAATCGAAGTTGCCTATTAAAATTGGGACCATTTGACTTTATTAAGTAAATTTCACTTAAAGCGGGGATTTACTTTCCCTTATTCTAGGAGCTATGATACGCCGAAAAAACATTAAATCGACTATTAAGAATAAATTAATTTTAAAAGAAACCCAGTTTTTTTTTAAATGGTAGAATGATGGCGACTTGAATCTTTGATTCTTTTGCAGCGACTACAACCGCAACTTCACCAACGTTAACTCCGCCATCGAAATCGCCGCCGCCGGTCCCGGCGTCCACAAGGCCATATGGCTCCTCATCCTGGCGCTCATCCTCAAGCTGATCATGACCATCTTCACCTTCGGCATGAAGGTCCCGTGCGGCCTCTTCATCCCCAGCCTCTGCCTCGGCGCCATCGTCGGCCGCATCGTCGGCATCGGGATGGAGCAGCTCGCCTACACCTACTCCAAGAACTGGCTGTTCAGCGGGGAGTGTTCGACAGGCGACGACTGCATCACGCCCGGGCTGTACGCGATGGTGGGGGCGGCGGCGGTGCTCGGGGGCGTCACCCGCATGACAGTGTCCTTAGTGGTGATCATGTTCGAACTCACCGGGGGTGTGAGGTACATTGTGCCGCTGATGGCGGCCGCCATGGCCAGCAAGTGGGTGGGGGACGCGCTGGGCAGACAGGGCATCTACGACGCGCACATTGCGCTCAACGGATATCCCTTCCTGGACTCCAAAGACGAGTTCCAGCATACGTCCTTGGCGGCGGATGTTATGCAACCCAAGTAAGTTTTGTTGATAAACATGTCGCGGTTGATAATTCGGCGCGAGGGATTGGTCCAAAGATCAAAGTCGGGCGTGCTTGCCCTGACCTTGGTGGATTTTTGCGATCGGAATGTAAACATTGTTGGGATTGTAGACTACTTATGTGTGTCGGGGAGATTATTGGGTGACTGTCGAAAGCTATCTATTGAATTTGTGCTATGTGACTTAAGTCAGGGATGGATAACTTAGAGTATAAGCTAAAGATAAAAAAAAATCAGCTGCAAATTTTATGAGGTTAATTAAGAGATTTCAGCTAATAACTTCTTCACACGACTACATCATAGCTACTTATTTGGGCAGAGACAGAAAAAAAGCAAAACGTTATAAAATATATTTTTATTGTAAAATGGAACGATAACAAAATTCACTGCAAAACACAAACAAAATCAAAGTCCAGTTGTGTACACTACACGTTATGAAAGAATACGTCAGATGCATATCTGTAAGAGCTGGCAGTATAGTTTTGATTATAGTGGTAATCATAAAATGTAGTTATAAAAAAATTACCTTATTTTTTACATTTTGAATTTAAAAACTTCCTCAAGCTTTTCATAATTCACATATTAAATACCAGGAAATCTTACGATTCTTTCAAATTTTTTGATAAAAACAAATTTCAAAAAAGGCCCAAGATGCCTTTAAATTCTTTAAAAAAAAAGTCCCAAGGGTTTTCACATTCTCAAAAAAAAAAAAACAATAAATTCTAAATTCCTTCAAATTAAAATATTTATATCTAGGAGCCCCCAGAGTTCTTTCATGCTGAAAAAAACCTAGAAGACCAAATTCTTTAAAAAATAATTGACCCCCTCCTTGGAAGTCCTTCAAATTCTTAAAAAAAGGCAGCAGACGTCCTTCAGGAATCTGCAACTTCTCAAGAAAACACTAGAAGCCCCAAAATGCTCTGAAACTTTTTTTTCAAAGGCAAATAAAATACCAAAAACCTCCAAAAACATTTCAAATTTTTTCAAGAATAAAACACCAGTAGCTCCCAAGATCCTTTACAATTCAAAAAGAAAAAAGAAAAAATAGAAACTCCCAAAATGCCTTTAGATTTGTAAAAAAAAAACATTCCCCCGAGATTCTTAAAAAAAAATAGAAAAAAAAAATACGGGGTCCCAAGATGATTTCCGATTCTTTGAAAAACAAAGCAACAGACGTCCTCCGGGAATCTTTCAAATTCTCTAGAAATATCACAAGCTACTAATGTGAAGGTACCTTCAAATACTTTTAAAGAGCCCTCAAAAGTTCTTTGAAATTTTCAAAAAAAAAAGGTCCCCTCGATTCTTCCAAATACTTGAAAAAATATGTACTAGAAGAGCCCCAAATTCGTTTAAAAGACACTCGAAGCCCTAAGATTCTTTCAAATTCTTTCAGAAATAGAACACCAATAGCCCCAACGATTCTTTACAATTCTTAAAATCCAGGGAACCCCAGGATTCTTCCAAATTCATTAAAAAAAAAAAACATTAGAAACTCCCAAGATGCCTTCAAATTCTTAAAAAAGCAAAAATACTAGGGGCCCCTTTTTTTCAAAATTAAAAAAAAACATCAAAAGCTCCTTGGCTTCTTTAAATTCTTAAAAAATAAAACCCACGACCTCAAGATTCTTTCATATTAGAAAATACAGAAGCTCCCAGAGGTGCTTTCAAACTGTCAAGAACCTCCAAGAACATTTCAAATTTTTTCAAAAATAGAAAACCAGTAGCCCCCAAGATTATATACAATTCTAAAAAGCCCAGGGGACCCCCGGATTCTCTCAGATTCTTTGGAAAAAAAGATAAACTCCCAATATGCCTTTAAATTTGTAAAAAAAATACTAGGAGTCCCCGAGATTTTTTCAAATTTTTAAAAAAAGAAAAAACACCAAGATGAGTTCAGATTCTTTGGAAAACAAGACAACAATCAACTTCCGGGAATCTAGGGGCCTTAAAATTTCTTCAAATTAAAAAAATATCAGAAATTCCCAGATGCCTTCCAAGTACTTTCAAATTTTCAAAAAAAAAGGTCCTCTAGATTCTTCCGAATACTTGAAAAAATATACACTAGAAGAGCCTCAAACTCGTTTAAAAGACACTAGAAGCCCCAAGATTCTTTCAAATTCTTTCAGAAATAGAACACTAATAGCCCCAACGATTCTTTACAATTCTTAAAATCCAGGGAACCCCAGGATTCTTCCAAATTCATTAAAAAAAACATTAGAAACTCCCAAGATGCCTTCAAATTCTTAAAAAAGCAAAAATACTTGGGGCCCCTATTTTTTTTTTCAAAATTAAAAAAAACATTAAAAGCTCCTCGGCTTCTTTAAATTCTTAAAAAATAAAACTCACGACCTCAAGATTCTTTCATATTAAAAAAACAGAAGCTCCTAAGGTGCCTTCAAACTGTCAAGAACCTCCAAGAACATTTCAAATTCTTTCAAAAATAGAAAACCAATAGCCCCCAAGATTATATACAATTCTAAAAAGCCCAGGGGACCCCAGGGTTCTCTCAGATTCTTTGGAAACAAACAGAAAATCCCAATATACCTTTAAATTTGTAAAAAAAATACAAGGAGTCCCTGAGATTTTTTCAAATTTTTTAAAAAAGAAAAAACACCAAGATGAGTTCAGATTCTTTGGAAAACAAGACAACAATAAGCTTTCGGGAATCTAGGGGCCTTAAAATTTCTTCAAATTAAAAAAATATCAGAAATTCCCAGATGGCTTCCAAGTACTTTAAAATTTTAAAAAAGAAAAAAGGTATCCTAGATTCTTCCAAAAACTTAAACAAAATGCTAGAGGACCCCCAAATTCTTTTAAAAAACGCTATAAGTAAATTTTTTTCAAATTTTTTAAAGGCAAAAAGGCACCTCCAAAAACAATTCAAATTCTTTTAAAAATAGGACACCAGTGTCCCCATAAATCTTTACAAAAACCCAGAGGGCCCCCGAGATTCAAATTATTTCAAAAAACGATCAGAGGGTCCCAAGATGATTTCAGATTTTTGAAAAACAAGATAACAAACAGCCTTCGGGAATGTCGAATTCTCTAGTCACTAAATTTCCTTTAAATTAAAAAAAAAAAATAAGGAGCTTTCAAGAGCCTTCAAATTATTTTAAAAATACTAAAAGCCATTTAAGTTCTCTCAAATTTAAAAGTCCCCTAGATTCTTCCAAATACTTGAAAAAAATACTAGAGAACATTTCAAATTCTTTCAGAAATATGGCACCAGTAGCCCCAATGATTCTTTACAATTCTAAAAAAAAAAATAGGGGACCCCAGAATTCCTTCAAATTCATTGAAAAAAACAAACAATAGAAACTCCCAAAAAAAAACGGAGGGCCCAAGGATTATTCCAAAATTCTTTTTAAATTCTCGACAAAAAAAAAAGCGCTGCAGGTTCCCCTTTTAAAAAAGAACCAGGAGCTTAAGTATTCTTTCACATTAAGAAAAAATGTCAGAAGCTCCTAAAATGCCTTCAAATTCTTGAAAAAAGTACTAAGAACACCCAAAATTCTTACAAATTCTAAAAAAAAGCACAGTAGAGGTTTCCTAGCTTCTTTCAAATTCTCAAAAAAAGAACAGTGAAGGATCCCAAGATGGTTTGAAATTTTTTAAAAATCTTTCAAATTTTTTCAAGGCAAACCAAAACACCAGGAACCTCAAGTGCCTTCACTATTCTTAAAAAAAAAAAAAAAAAAAAACAACCAATGATACCAGGATTTTGGAATGCTCAAATTTAAAAAAAAATCAAAAGTTTAATTGCCATCAGTAACCCAAGAGTATCAAAAACAAAAATTAATACAATGCTAATTATGCGGTTTACGGGTGTAATTGTTCCCCACCAACAATCTGCCCTTATCATAGACATCAAGAGTTTTGAAAAAAAAAATTATACGAATAAATTTGCAAATTTATCTTAGAAAGTACCGACGGCCCTGAAATCTTTTGGATGAAATGATTTATTTATTAGATTATTCAAAATTTGTCTGTTCATCCCGTTCAAAACCTTGGCGTCAGCCCAAAATTTTGCCAGATAAATCCTGTCTAAAATACCACCCACGAAACCTGAAAATATTTGCTTTGTGATATGATCAGTTCTGATCACACAATGAGTAAATTTTATCACTTTTGTGACAGAACTATCAATAAAATTAAATTCAAACATGTCAGCGATTTTAGAAGAATAATATATTTAATCGTGACGTATCTTAAAAGAATGACGTCATACTATTCTCAAGTGATTGCATAATGTAGGGTAAGCTTTTTTTAAAGAGTTGTTTTCATATATATAAAAATACTGCCTAGCTTGCGCCATGTCTCTGTCAAAATTGGAAATCGACCAAATACAGTTTTTTTCCGTTGACAAACACCCGAACACATCAAGTCTGTCTTTTGTCTATATTTAACTCGGGCGTAGGATGCCTATTTCCTTTATTTTGTTGGTTTTTCATTAAGACTTCGTTGACAAAAATTTTATGTATATAAGATATAGGAGTGCGCTCCGAACAACACGTAACAACGAATCTAGCGTTGCCATTCGTTAGACAACATGTGGCTCAATAGATAAAACATCGATAAAATAGCGATTTGAAATATAAATTGATAAAAAAATACTGTATAACTCGTATTTAGCTTTGTATTTATGTGAACGATTTGGCCAAGTACGAATAGCTGGGGTCACACTGTCTCCACAGTTACAACAATTTCGCTGGCAAATTTTCAACATTATGCGTCAGGTTGTTTTTACAGTTAAAAATGACCAAGTTAACAAATTCAATTATTATAGTGTGATGTTCAAATTGTCACCATTAAACTACAATCACACCACATAAGTCACAGCCAATTTATCAGTTTATCCATTGACACGACAAATGGATACACAAGATAATATTTCATAACTTTGTAACCAGATTGGTAGCTTTATGTTATAAACATTAAGCGCCGGCCAAAAATAGGAGACTGTTCAATGAACACTGACAACAATAATTTATTATTCATTGAATTTATAACATTTATATTTATGAGACGGTAAAGCTATTACTAATCGCTCTTTGACGGAGATATATTGGCATTTAAAAAAAACTAATTGCATTTAGAAAACACGAATACTTTTATTAGTGCTCACATAAAAAAGAAATAACAAAATGAAAGCCCAAACTCAATTTAAATTTTATATCGTGGAAATAAATATGTGAAGGTTGATCACTAAATTCTAAGACTTTGTTTCCACGCTCTAGTTCGTTTTCGTTCGTTTCATTTTGAGTTAATAAATAAACAAAAATTTAATAATAATGAGATATTAAAACCTGTAACTGAGATCTTCTTCGGCGCCAATTTAAGTGATCATCCGATGCGAATTTTTCATGTTATCTAATCAAATATCGCTGAAAACCACGTGCTCAGAAATGCTCAAAACGTGAAGATATGTTGAAGTCTCCATATCGAAAACTTCATCACTAGTGGTACTAATTCAATAGATGGATACTTAACGACATTCATAACATGTTAACGGTTTCTGATGTCTACGAAGTCTTATTACTAAAACTATTTTTAACTAAGACGGGTTTCCTGTTCACCAGTAGCAAATCTGTTCAATTAGATTGCTTTAGTCCGGAATCCCTAAGTCTATAAATACAATTTCAAAAAGTCACTGAACTTGACGTTGCTAATTGCAGACGAAACGAGACTCTGAGCGTCATCACGCAGGATTCAATGTCCGTGGATGACATAGAGGCTCTCTTGAAGGAAACAGAGCACAATGGATATCCTGTGGTGGTATCCAGGGAATCTCAATATTTAGTAGGGTTCGTGCTTAGAAGGGATTTGAACTTGGCAATAGGTACGATTAATTCTGGATAATCCAAGGTTTTAACAACTTAATTCCAGCTAATGCCAAGAGAATGGCTGACGGGATTTGCGGTCAGTCGATAGTGCTTTTTACTAGTGGAAACCCACCACAAACTTTAGGACCACCACCTTTAAAACTGAAGAAAATTTTAGACATGGCACCAATTACCATCACCGATCAGACTCCGATGGAGACTGTTGTAGATATGTTTAGGAAATTGGGGCTGAGGCAGACTCTAGTCACACACAACGGGTAAGTCTCCAAAAAAATTGTCCACAAGAGTAACGATTTGCCTTCCAGACGCTTACTCGGAGTCATCACGAAAAAAGATGTCTTGAGACACATAAAACAAATGGACAATGAAGACCCTAATTCAGTTCTATTCAATTGAAGAGCAAAGGATATGTTAATAATTTTATTGTGTATATTATGGTTTATTAATACTTGTGTATATTAGTAATGTATTGTTAGTCAAATTATTATTTATTATGAACTTTTACTTCTGATGTGACGTGACTTTAACGTATACCCACTTGTCTTCCCTGCCGTAATTTTTATTAAACTTACAGCCTTGTTTCGTTACGAACGATTTGAGATTTAAGTAATCATATTAGTTGTCAATAATGCTCAGATATATAATAAAAATTTTGTAAGTAGTTGACTTTTCATTGCCTAGGACCTTCCAGGAATAAATGTTGTAGGGTCTAAGAGGCACCTCTGCGTGACTCACTTTCAACTTTTAATTTCCTTGTTGTCATTTTTGCGCTCAAGTTCAAAGATGTTTTGGTTTCTTGACCTTCAGTTCAAAGCTAACGATGTTCGATTAGGTGCTGATTTATCTCATTTAACACGTTTATGATTCACCGAGTCCGCAAGATCGATTCATTGACATTTAACAGATTTAAATTGATAAACGAGTCCGAGTGCATAAAAATCATAGTTGGGTTCACTGTAACCAGAATTCACTTGGTGAACCTTGTTGAGTCCAATATACTTTTCATTCTTAACGGTAAAAATTTCTCAATCGTTGTAAATTCTCGTCATTTCAATGTCAGTCGTTATCAGTTTCTGGTTGTAGTTAATTTTATATATTATTGAAGGTCAAGGAGCCTTTTGGGGATAAAAGTTGATAAAAATGGAGTCACTTACGTCGGCGTTTGTGTAAGCACGTGTTGTAATTCGTGTCGTTTTCGCGCGTTGGATATTAAAACCCTGATTCTTTTCCTTTTTTGAAGACATTGTTAGTTTCCTAGTAGTTACGCAATTATTTCGTGCAACTTTTTCGACAACTATGCGGTATTTCCTTCACTTTTTCCTTCCTACTGTCATTTTTTAAGACAAAAAAATCTGCCACCTATAAAAATTTAATTTTGGCTTTTCGCAAGGTTTCCGGTTTGTTATCAAACCGAATTTCCGGTTTATGCATCTGCTGGAATGCGTATCCTCAAGGTATAGCCAAAACCGTGCACACATTGTACTTTCACTCTAAACTAACGATTTTGTTCTTGGACTCTGTCTATTCGGCAAACTTGTCCAACAAATCGGTTCAAAAATAGCACTTGGACATTGTTCAATAATACACTGTTCAATGAACAATCTAGACATATTTTGCAGCTCAAAAAACTCTTATAACGATTTGAGTAAACAACGTGTTCGAATTTCGGTTATCATTGTCGTTCTCAGTCTGCACAAGTGAGTCAGATTAATTTTAGGAACCGATTGAAAAACGTCTGCTGAATTTATCGATATCAGTCATATCACTTGAACTTTGTCCCAGTCGAGTTTCTAGATTCGGCGTGTTGAATACCCTTTTGGCAGTGAAATTTCACGTTTTGCAATCTTGGCAGAAACGCCTTCTGTGTCAGCGGTGTATTTATAATGCGAAAAATTGTGCTTCAATAAGGTCATCACCCCACCAACAGAGCATCTCGTGCGGCCCCAAACCACTACAGACAATGTCAACATCGTGCCGTGTTATCAACCATCCCGAGTGACTCCAGCCGAAAAAATCAACTGTGTACAACCGCACATTGACCGGTCGTTGGCAAGTGACTTGTTTCATATTGTAGATAAGAATTTTTAGTTCATACTAGTTTCTGTCGGCGGATCGAACAGAATTGGTGGTGTGTATCCTTCAGTTCTGTCTTTGACTATAAGTGGTTATTACCTCACTTGATGAACTAAATTTTGTGCAAGGTTCGAATCTGGCCTTAATCAAGAACAATAAAGTGGTGCTTGACATGCTGGTATGTACCTTCAGAGACTACTGCGTTTTTTTCTACAGCTAATGATTGCCGATCTGAGTTAAGTCATCGGTGCTACCTTGTAGCGACTCTAATTACCAATTACGAATCCCATTAAGGGATTTGCCATGGAAAGCGAAAACGTCAGTTACCCAATTCTAATAGTGATTCACACAAAGACCAGATGCGTCAATTTAAAAAAGCCAAGACCAACTCTATTGACCTTATCTTCTCCAAATCTCACCGGAGGCTTTGTTTACAAGTTATGCTAATTCGGTTTGTTTACCGCGAACAAAGCTACGCGAAAACAATATTAATTTTGATACAAAGTCCACTCTATAAATACCCAAACAGTGTCACAAATCCCGTCCAAAATCAAACCCAATTTCCCAACTCGTTTCGAATTCAATTCCGTACTTTATTTCTGCTGATTTATGGCAGGTGTGGCAACGCCGCCGACACATTGTTATCGCCGTAGAAAAAACTAGCGCACTTTTGTTTACAAATTTGGGCGGCGTTGCCAGTGGTGATAAACATTAAAACGTTCCCCCCTGCGTGGCCATTGATCACATTCGAACAACTTGTAAACAGGAACTCCCTAAATTAATTGGGATGTTAAAATAAGAGCGTTGCAAAAGACCCAACCTGTGGGCACGTGTTGGCGGGCTGTCTACTGAGTGTTGGAAAATTCTATCGAATATTTTCGTACTCGATAGAAATAGAAGCATTTGTCTCCGACACTTGATTTATCGCGTGCGAGATAAATTTTGGCAAAGTTTCAGCATTTGCTTTGTTTAGGTTGGATTTTGCAAGGCAGGTATTTATTGTGCAGCTGTGAGTCGAGGGATGTGTGCATCATGATTGTAGAGAAAGTTATTTTTCAAAAATGTTGTAAAAATCGGTTGGTATATTAATTTCTAGTGTATCATGACCGGTACAAGTGTACAGCTAGAGAAGGGTACTTAACTGTACCACTCTTTGAGTTGCATGATCGTCACAGAATAGTGGCATGATCACTTGATCAGACAACGTGGTGTTAACTAATCTTGGATAAAAATTTCGTCAAAAATAACACAGGCAAAATTGTGGAAACAAAATGACTTTTTAAAATAAAAAATTGACTGACGGCGAATACACAATAATAATAATAATAATAACCAGGTTAGTCCATTACGTTCCTATTTGTGTATACGTAACATTTCACTTTTTACTAATTTCGTCCCATCCTGCGTCCTTCAATGTGGCACAAATTTGATAAAAATTATGCAACATTACAAATAAAATTAAAGAAAATAGTTTTACTTTTTTTTAATTATTGACTTAAAATGTCAACAACTATAATATCATCAATACTTTCTTTTACTTCTTATTGTGAGCTTTAGGTGATCTTTACGACTATCGTATGAATGGTTCAACGTTAATCAGAAGTTGTTTGTTCATCCTCAGCAACAATTTGATGACGTCATTTCAAAATTTTGCTTGGTAAATTCGTTCTGAATTTTATAAAACTATAAGCTCTATGCTTGCAATTTATTAATTGTCACCCATTTTTATTTACCTTCGATTTTAGATTTTTGGAAAACAATTCCAAATTGTACAAGCAAATGAGAATCTTGAATCGTTTTAAGCGTATTGTGTACAAGATACTTATATTGCTAATCAAAATTTATCTGGTCATCTCCGCAAAATTCCTATAAAAAAAATCCTAAATAAATTCTATCTAAAAAAATCCAAATTTACAAACATAATTTGACATCTTTTTGAAGATGAAGAGTAACAAGTAACAAAAAAATTCAAAATGGTAATTTAACCGAGTTTCTGAGATAATGGGCCAAATAAATTTATTTTACACTAATTGTGTTGCAACGTCCTTAAGCCAAGCAATACCACATCCTAGGATGATATTTTTAAATAAAAATTTATTTCATTTTTTTAATGAGACCATTAACTTCCTGGAAATGTGGCCTCATACCACAATTTCCAAGAAGTTTAAATATCACCATGACCTCATTGAAAGATCAATTTATTTTTCACTTGTTTTTATATTTCAGTTTTTGTGTCATATAGGGTGATGAAAAAATTACGGATAAGCTCGATGGTACGTTGCTACGAAGGCTCTGAAGAACTCGAAAAAAAGTGGTTTAGAAAATCCGTGAACCAATTTTTAAAATATTAAATCTCAAAGTTGAAGGTACACGTACCACAGAGTTTATACGTGATTTTTTGATCACCCTGTATACTTTCCGATATCGATTTTGCCTGATATGTTAAAAAATAATTACAAAAATTGGGTCGCCATTTAAAAAGTAATTGTAATTGTATATGATGACAAGAAATCAGGAAAAAATAAACAAACTATAAACGTTCATTTAATTAAAAAAAAACAAAATAGTAAAGATATTAGAAACATTCTAATAAATAAACACAAATTTCATAATTAAAAAGGAAGCATTTATATTATGACGAAAAATTATCATTTGTGGCTATAAAGCTATGATAAATTTAGTATAAATCTGGTTAAGATAACTTATTTTATCAAATTTAAACCTAATATTTTTATCTAAATTAGCTGAGATGCCTCGGACTGTTTTTTTTCAGATTACTAAATTGTTAATTAAATTTAACAAGTCAAAATGTTTGCGACGACCAAAAACCGTCCCCAAATTGGCAATGAATTTTAATTGTTTTTTTTTGCATTGTTTGTTGTAAAGAGCACATGAAGAGAAACTTGACAACCTTTTTTGTCGACCAGTTAGCTCCTGTGGAATTAAGGGAAAGTATCGGCAAATTAGTTCACTTTTTTTTTAAATTGTAATAGCGTCCGAATGGGTACTTTAATGTTTTCTCGACGTTTCATGCCCCCTCGAGTACGAAAAAAATAAGTATCTCATTTCGTCTGTCATCTGTCTGTGTCGATTTTTATTAGATAGATAATCTCGGAAACTATGAGATCGATTGTTGTGAAATTTTGTGTGATTTGAGAATATCGTACAAATGGTAAACGCTAATCAAAATTTGTATAATCATCCACACCAACAATTTGATGACGTCCCCGCATAATTCTGGGTAGTAAAGGTTATCTAAATTTTATGACTGTACTCGTGGTTTATCAATCCGCCTTAAAAAAAAATTTTGTATAATATTTTATATTTATATTTTAATTATATCGATTTTTTTTTACACTGTGACTGGTATTAACTATATTTTTTTACAAACTTTTAGGGGTTATCATAACATAAATAAAATTTTGCAAAATCTAATGAGCGAGGAAAATTCTGAATAAATAATTTAGGACCAATTTTTAATTCCCATCAAATTTTACACCTACGTATCTCAGACTATACATAACAAATTCCTAAACTACTCAATACCCAAAACGGCTGAATATTGAGCAAATTTGTTCGTCCCTTCGAGTGAGTTATGACGCCATCCGAAAAAAAAAATTGAATAAAGTAATAGTTTGATTATTGAGAGAGAGAGAGGTTCTTTTGTATCCTCCATAAAATATGATTTCAACAGCTAGGATTGGCACAAAAAATAATACGTGGCGTCATAAATTTAATAGTGTTAATCAGACAAGTAAAATATACGCACACTGTATTCATAAAATGTTACGCTTTGCTGGTTTAACAATTCCATTCATCTATTGACGTCTTAATACTGAAAATTAGTTCCTGTGAAAACACCTTGTAAAATAGGTGTTCGACATTCCATTGTGATATTGAATACTTTAGAAGCACGGAATTTATTTTTAAGAGGTTCCGAAAAATCGTTTCACACCTTTTACAGTCTTTTAGATACATTATAAAACTGTATTTCGCAAACATTGTACATACATTAAAATCACATATCGACGCACATTTTAAATCCTGTTTACTTAATAATGTTTGAGGTGACGTCAGTAAAATTTTGGTGGGGGTGGATAGGCTAATTTTGATTAGCGATTTATCATCATTGCGATAACCTTAAAATCTGTACAGCTGGTTTTGTATTTTCTTCTGAAGTCATAGATAAAATTTTATACATCACTCGTGGGTTAATGAATCATACTCCCGTGATGATACACTTTACTAAAACCTCGTTATGAATAAACTTCCCACCCGTATAGTGGTAAAGCTCATCTTATTTATATAGTAAGTAACTATAGTTTAGCTTTCAAAGTTCAGTGTAGTTATAGCTCGAAAGAACAAAAAACAAAAAAATGTACATCGAAATTTCGAATAAAGTCCCACGCTTAAGAATGTAAGTAATCTTATTGTTTTTTTTTTTTATACCATATGATCGAAAAAAATGTCCTCTGGTAGACCATGAAATTTATTTTTAAAATGATTTTGTTTTAAAAATAAATTTCATGGTCTACTAAAGTACTTGTTTTTTTCGATCATATACCAGCTCTTTAATTAATACTTTTAGTTAAATTTAAATTTATCTAAAACTTACGCTTTTACATCACCTAACAATAAAAAAAATCCAACAAAACTTTAAAACCCTGGGCAAAATTTTCTTGTCAAGTTTGGATTTTTTCCCAAAGATTTAGAATCTAAAGTAAAATCTTTAAGAGTCAAAATGACAGTCTCATTCTTAAAGTATGTCGGAGATAACGCGTCTAATTAAATTGCGGACGGACAGACCGCCGGAAACGGGAGAGTGACCCTTGCAAAATATTTTTGATTCAACAATAGAAAAACGATTTAGATGATACGATAATGAAAAAAATGCAGCTCTTATGTTCGTCAAAACATCCGTTCTCCTGCGCCAAAGTACTATTGTGTGTACTAATTACACAAATAACTAGTTTCAT